GGGGGGGGGTTATCGGATGAGGTACTGATTCCAGCGCCCCCAGCGCAAGCTTAGTGTGAAGATGCAATCGAAGGGGAGTGGGCGGAAACATTGTATGACTATTCAAGCGACGTGAGTGTTCTTTTGCGTCGAGCAGGCTCTGGAGCTGACGGATGAGCAAGCCGAAGGCTTTACTTCTTTCTTGGGATTAGAGCAAGGCAGTCGGATGATATTGCTTGTTCTAGATAACATGTGCATATAGTGCTGTCATTATTTTGTCTGTATGTTAGTATCTGTTTTCGAGATGCTTAGGTGACCTGATGGATTAGATACGCCACGATACATAGTCGCATGATCAACGTTCGAATCGTGGGCCAATAACAAATGTGATGTGAAGTCAATGATTGACAGGTTCGAGAGCCTTGCAAACCTTCTGAGCGGGCTTTCCCACTGATGTAAGAATCGTGTGTAAGTGCCTACTCTCTCTTCTCCAGTGAACCAACACAATAAGCCACTATCCCTCTCACTACGGCGCGACCTTAACAGTTCCCTTTAAGATCTGGTTTTGTCGGCTTCGAAAATGCTTTTGCTATCTGGTACATACACGCTCCTAAATCTTAGATTTCAAAACCGCGTAATCATGCCCAGCAATGATCGCGGTGTGGACCTTGTTTGTATAGTCCCCCCGATGGAGTCCACTGTTGAAGAGGAGGGAAAGGTGATGTCTACTACGTCTTTGATATTATTCGATTCACTGACAATCGTCATGATGGATCATATCAACACGGAAGACAGTGGGAGCTGGTGGCCCATTTCAACGATCGATATAAGATCAAGAACTGTCGACATAACTACTACTGTCGTGCTCCGTATCCGTCTATAGATGGGTCGTCTATTGTTGGGGATGAGTTCTATGGAACCTTTTGGTTCCTTGAAAAGGTTAACACCGGAAGGCGGGAGCACACAGGAAACGTTTACATGTCAGAGTCACAGATGTCTTGCAATTATAGATGGCGCTGATGAGATTGTTGCAGCATCAGGGATTATGTTAACCCCAATCTATGCTGGAGTTTAGAAGACGCAAATGATAGATCCCCCGTATGTTGTTCCTCTGGGCTGATGGATTTAGGTGACTGATGCGGCAGAGAAATAGATTTCTCTTAGAGAGTACACCCCTGTCCCAAACAAGCTATGGAGGGTAAGTATCCCAATGACCCCAATTTGATTGAGACTTCTTACGAAGATTTATATCAACCGATCGAGTAGATCGAGAAATACTCATCGCAGTCGCCGGTAACCCCTGATTACTTTCCGTCCGGGTACACGCCCGGTACAGACATAACTGCACTTCTCAGCTGTGACGATTATTATCCACCAGGTGTGTGCATGCTCTTGTTTCCCATGTGTGTCGTTTGATTAGACTACATTTCGCGTAATAGGATTTTCGTGGGAGAAATCTATTGCGTAGCAAACAGATTCAACATGGTATAGGTTTATAGCTAGGACAGCTATTTGAAAGAGGTGTTTAGAGAGATCACTGAGTGTCCTCTTATTTGACGCAACATGGCCAATGCGATAGTTTTCTGGCCCTGACTTATGATTATTACGTCGATATTCAGATTCCTGACCGCTATGAGCGTTTCATTCATGGGCGAGAATACTCTGTCATGTCAACTTTTCTGTTACATCCTGTATGACGCTTCGTACCCATATTGAAAACACCCTTTTGATTTTATTGGAACTTCAATATGCATGATTTACATGGGACGAGGTCGTAAAACCCAAAACTGCCACTGTCAGAAAAAAATCAAATCTACAGTGTAGTCTGAAGCTCCCTGTTCCACGTAGTTCACCGATATTGCCCTACCCCGGGCGCTGCGCCTGGAAAGGGTAGATAGCTGCTGCTGGAGCATTGTTCCTCGTCCACGCTCAGCGTAGTACTCCGGTAATATCTTCATGATACCTTGCCCTCGAGGAAGGTCAACTACGACGTCGCACCATCTCTTGTAATCATGGATTCCCAATACAACTACAACTTCATCATCTGCATCACTTTTGAATCGGAGCGCTCCCGAAGTGCCGCTACCACCAATAGTTAGAGTTTGTATGCCATTGCAACTCGTCCAGGTTCCACCGTTGGCATAGTGCCACACAGCTTTCTCCACGAGAGTATAGCCCACAGGGGAGCGATTTGCGATTCGGACTTTCATAGTATACCCCATTCCTGGTTTCAGAGTTATCATATCACTGGCATCACAACACAAATAAGGCACCGAACCTCGATTTAATATCCTGTTCTAAGCTGATGGGGTTTGGTGATAGAAATCAGAGTCTCGCTATGCCGACAATTGAGGTGTGCCATAATCACAGCAAAGTCAGATGTAGAAGAGTTTGAAATCTCATGTGTGAATACATACCTGGCTTTCAACGACACAGGCTCGGAAAGAGTATGATGCAGGTGAATGAGCTTCCTTCCGTCGTGTGGTCGGCCAGAACTCGGAAGATTCTCTTACCTTCTAAGATATGCCTTCACTACTACATGAGATACCTGTCACTCCATAAATGCATGACCCCGTGCTACTAGCATACACCTTCTATCGATGCTATCATTGACGCTCATATCATGATATCTTCTATGTCTTGTGCCACATACACACTACAGGAATCCGCGCACGCGAGTCGGGGTTATCGCTTTGACACTCTAGATTGAATAGAGGACTTACCAATCACCAAAATGCAAGAAAAAACGTACGCAAATATGACGGTCGCCAATTGATTGACATCCAGTCAGCGAAAGGTATGATATCAGACATGCAGATCATGGCCCCCGAGAAACACTGCTCATATAACTTGAGAAAAGGGCCCATGTCGAATTATCTGGTGATTGTGCAGTATTATCTAGATTCTCGTGTTTTGGCGATGCAATTGGTCACGGTCCGATCTTGATCATTCTGGGCGTTGCCGATCGCAAAGCTTAGCGCTCAGCCACTTCAACCTGCTCGGCCATGATACTACATAGCTTCGAGACTCTCTTGTACAGTCTGCTGCCATTGACTTATACCATACCTGTAGGTCGTTATGATTTTATATGTTCCGATATATTTCACATTTATTGCGAATGATTTCTCCATACTTTGCGTTCATCTAGAACCATTAGAGACATGTAATGCTATATCACAACGAGGTTTCCTTCCAGCCGTCGTATTCATTTTGGTCTGTAATTTTTGCCCGAAATTCATGGCTCGTACTCTACATCTGTCTGGTGTCCTTGTTAGGCCAGTTCCTCATTCTCTCTCATGCAGGAGCCTGCCTTCATTTGACGATTCATAATTTTCTGTGTCAGCGACACCCTCTTTGCTGTGCTCTAATGTCATATTTAACGTTTGCTAGTATATACACAATCACAATCTGCATATTTCCCCGTGTGGAGGTAGGGATCCAATATTCCGCCTTTGAATAATCGCCATTCCATCATGATTGATTTCTGCTGGTATTCATACACTCGCGACATATTAGCGTGACATGAACACAGTCGACTTTCATCCTTTCAAGCCAGGCTGCAAGCGCGTCTTCAACTCGTCCAAAGCATCACACACTTCACGCGCCTGACTGGGCAGCAAACTCATATCCTCACGTACGAGCATATCACGGTGTTGCTGGGGCCACTGCAGGAGCATCACGAGGCCATCCTCTGTGCTGATCCCTACCTCCTCCCTGAATGCTCCGATATATTTCTCCAGTCTTGGACAGTGTCGGCGGACGAATAGCTGTATAGGATCAACTTGCACGAGCAGAGGTGGTGCTGTAGCGCAATGTGAGATCTCAGACCGGTTTGAAATATGGGGTGCATTTTGTACATTGAGTGCCTCCAGCTGTATGTAGCAGTTCTGGTCAGATGATGGGAAGTACTGCTCATTGTTATGCATACTGTAGCTGGTGCTGCTTCAACCAGCACAGGTGCTGTGGGGCTTCTGGTCACAAGCCCTTCATGTACATGCTGGTTGGTGTGATGAGACTAGACACTAAGTGATATACTCAAAGAACAAACCACCAGGTTTGCTGCATTATCTGCATTGACTTGTGATATATGGCTGGCCCTCACAGGCAAACCATAGCGTCGGCGAACCAAAGAATGCTTCTTTGACAAGATTTGAAAGGTGCTTAAATATGATATCAAGTACATCTTGATGGGCCAGGCGGCTTCAAAATGTTCAAAAAGGAAGGGGTGCATCGACAATGCCTCCAATCCAGAGTCAGCTACGTTCTGATGTAACCGATGCCACTAGTCACCTCATCATGAAGCATTAGCAGTGCGTCAAAATTCTGGTTTGAGTAAGATAGCGTCATGTCCAAATATTTGGCTGCAAGGCTGCGCATACACGCCTAAGTGCAGCCAGTGTCAGTCGCAGTATCTTTGATAAGTATGCTCTATACTCACTGAGAATTGCCCGAATTCGGACTTCTGGAGGTGCATTTGCCGCGCCATCGAACGCCGCACCGAGGGCTTAGGTATGCGAGTGCGTGGAGGTCGCATCTGGAAACAAGGCAGGGGATGAAAGATACAAAATCGTCGAGGGTCAAGAGCATTATATTATCGGTACCTCATCAGTCACGCTGGCTCATTGTTGAGCAAGACCCATAATGGATTGCTCACGACGAAGGCAGCATGATGTGTGATACCGGGCTCGCCCGTCCCGCGAATGTATTCTGCCAGGACTTCGCGAGGATAAAGGCTGTGAGCTTCACGCCGCGTGTGATGGTTGGCAAGATTCGCAGAACGTTCACGGAGGGCCGAGGCCCATGGGGGTCAGTCTGCAAGCCCCTAAAGACCAGCGCAGAATGGCGGCGTGCAACACGGAAGCTCAGCGAACTGTATGCAGGTGGGCGCACCAAAGTCTGCGTATCAATAGGAAGATGGGGCCATGTGGAGCCTGCTTGGGAGATACATACGGGTGGTCAAGCACCGGAGAGGATATTATTCGGATATTAGCCAAGGTTGGGATGGTATACATGTCATAATTTCTACATGAAGCCTGCGCGCGTGACATTGGAGACGTCCGAGGATCATATACAAACATAGAAAAGGCTGGAATGGTCGGAGGCGAAAAGTGATCGAGGAGAGGTGAATGGGCGATAGGCGATGACCAGTCGGGTCGTGAGGTAATCGAGTGAAGACAGTAGCCGAGCTGGATGACGATCGCGACACGACGATCAAGCCACTCGGAGCGGTGGAGAAGGTTTTGTTTTCTGTCCGAGTTGCATTGCTGCCCTCTCTGTCTTCCGGGCTGTCGAGGGGGGGCGAGGAGGTAGTAGGAGGAAAGAGGCAGAGCGGCGACGAGAGCACACGGAGTGCAGACGGCCTCCTCCCCCCCTCGAGACTGGGGGCGACGAGGCGAGACTGGGGCAGAGGACAAGAGATGGAGCAGGACTGGGCGATGACGTGGGGGCGAGACGGCATCCGCCGGGCCAGGACGAAAGACCTGGCGGGCGGCGGAGCGGCCTGCTGCATCGTCCTCTGTCGTCTCTCCCATCCTCCCCCCCGCTTCTCACCCGCCCACAAATGCCATCCGGAACCGGCGTCGTCGACGCTTTCAAGAGTCCGTCTCTTTTCTTCCTCCCACCACCACTCTCACCCCTCCCTAGATCTCATTCGCCATGGAAAGAACCACCACGCCGTAAGACAGCAGGACGAACCCCTCCAGCCCTACGCAGTCCCGCAGCATCAGCATCAGCCGGCCCAGCAGCATCGCCAGCGCGACATGCTCCCTCCACAAGCCGTCCAGCCCGCCCAGCACGAACATCAACACGAACACCACCAACAGCCCGCCAAGAAGAACTCCGTAAAGTACAAGGAGCACGTCGAATCCATCGTTCAAGAAGAACGCGAGGCACAAGACAAGATGCCCATCTACAAGGGCCTCGAGAACTTCAAGCTGCTAGACAAGATGGGAGAGTGAGTGTCCGGTCCCCTATCATCTCGCGTCGTCTCCCTCCCACTCCACTGTCTCTCCCGTCGTCGTGTCGCTTCTCGTCTTTCTCGCGTCTCGGGCTGTTACGGATACCATACGCCATCCAGAGCACAGTCGGTCCACTTGCCGATGCTCGGATCCCTCAAATTTCTCAGCGCCCATCTGTCGTTCCGATTGTATCCTCATTCATCGGTCCTCTCATTGGGAGAAGCCGCAAGATTGAGTGATGCACTGGCGATCCGATGCTTGCTTTTACTCCCTAGGCAGAGCTGACTCATCCTCTCCAGTGGTGCATTCTCAAACGTTTACAAGGCCGTTGATATTCGAACGGGCCAGAGGGTCGCAGGTATTGCCATCGCATAATTTCCATACGCATGTTCACCTTATCCTCCGCTCCCAGTCAAAGTTGTGCGGAAATACGAGCTTAGCGCGTCACAGGTTAGTGTTCACCTATCCCCCTGCCGTTCTCTATTCAACCTCCCTCTGCGCCGTTGCCCTAGGCCGGTGACAAGCATCTGAACCGCGAGTTTAAAAAGAAGCCGCGGGTGACAGAGGTGCTTCCTGCTTGAGTGGTCATCGTTCCTTGCTGACCCATTTCATTGTCTGCTAGCGCACGAATATCCTCAAAGGTGTGTGGCATGTCCCCAGTGTAAAACATGTAGGGTCAATGGTTGTACTAATGGCTCACGGCGTAGAGGTGCAGATTATGCGAGGCATCAACCACCCATCTATCGTAAAGCTCCTTGCGTTCTTCGAGTCACAAGAGCATTACTTTCTAATCCTAGAGTGTGAGTCATTTGTGTACCGCCATTGATCGTAGCTGATGTCGTCTAGTGCTTGAGGGCGGCGAGCTGTTCCACCAGATTGTGAAACTAACGTATTTTAGTGAAAACCTAGCACGACATGTGATTCTGCAGGTGGCCCACGGCATTCGATACCTTCACGAGGAACGGGGAGTCGTGCATCGAGATATCAAGCCCGAAAATCTCCTCTTCGACAAGATTGCGATTGTTCCAAGCAAAAATTCCCCAACAAAGCAATTCGAGGAAGAGAAAGAGGATGAGGGCGAGTTCATTCCCGGCGTTGGCGGCGGCGGCATCGGTCGTGTCAAAATCGCGGACTTTGGCCTGAGTAAGGTCGTCTGGGACGAGCAGACAATGACCCCTTGCGGCACGGTTGGATATACCGCACCCGAGATTGTAAAGGACGAGCGATACAGCAAGAGTGTAGACATGTGGGCGTTGGGGTGTGTGCTATACACCCTACTGTGCGGATTCCCGCCATTCTACGATGAAAGTATCAACGTCTTGACGGAAAAGGTTGCGCGGGGACACTATACCTTCCTAAGCCCCTGGTGGGATACGATCAGCGCTTCTGGTGAGTTATTTCAGCTTCCTCTTATGCGTTTGTTGACCTTTGCCAGCCAAGGATCTCATTACGCATCTGTTGTGCGTGGACCCTGCACAGCGTTATACCATCGATGAGTTCCTCGCGCATCCATGGTGTAACGCCGCTCCAGCTCCAGCCCCTCCCCCTACGCCTTTTACGGCACCCCAAGATTCGCCCTTACTGATGACCGCACGCGGTGGCACGTCGTCGGCGGTGCGCTCGCCAGGAATAGCTACGCTCAAGGAGGCGTTCGACATCACGTATGCGGTGCACCGAATGGAAGAGGAAGGAGCGCGTCGGCGTGCAGCCAAGGGCGGTGCAAACCGCGGGTTCCTCACAAACCTGAACGAGAGCGACGAAGACGACGACGACGACGCTCTGGAACCTGTCACGATCGCCCGCGGTCGGCAGGTCACACCGGCTGGGCAAGCAGGGATTGGCGCGGGTGCGAAAGTAGCAGCAAAGCGGGCAGTGCAGGATTATGATGGACGTGCGGGGCCACGCGATCGAGGAAGGAGGGGAAATCAGCCTTTCGAGCTTGATTTGGACAACGCGACGCTGTTGGGGAGAAGACATCGACGCACGGTGGACGCAGATAAAAGCAGTCCGCTGGCAAGAGTTACGCAACAGCAGAAGGGTATGATGGATGTGCCAGGGAGTCCAATGCGCGTGGATTAGTTCCTGCGCGAGTTTGATTTGCTGGTCCGCGGCGATTGCCGATCAACCACCTGTGTCCACTGTCTGTCTGGCCTGTCCTTCTCTCTCGCTCCTCTTCCACCTCGTATACACGGCATCGCATGCATAAAGCGCCCAACCTTGTACCCGTTATATTATCACCATCGTCAACGCTCTGAAGATCGTCTCACCTGTCAAATAGTAGTATTCGCTTAGTCGCTATCCTTCCCAGTTGCCTCCGCTGCCACTCGCACTCTACCCCTCGTCTTCCTACTTTCGTGCGTGCAATGCCATCTTCGCTGGCCGCCGGCGACCAGTTCCGCGCCATGCACGCACGAGACGGTGCCACTGACTCGTGGTCCTGCGACGCCTTCGAATTTCGCCAGCCTATGCTCAGATCCAGACATGAGGTTGAGTGAGGATGTTATATGTTTGATAGTTGTTGTATTGTTAGCGCGTGCGCTGATAATCGTCAGCGAGTCAATTGTTGTAGAGTATGTACATGTATCAAATGACTGTTTCTTTTGCCTGTGTTGTTATATGACTCAACATTCGTGTTTCCCTTACCATGCGAGATCCAGCAATATTCAATGCCAGCCGTTGATAGTTTACGGAATTACCGCGGAAACTTGACTCACATACGAAATCGGTTTCCCTGGGTATGACTCGCTATCAGCATTCCTCAAGCCAGCAAGCTTCGAAGAACTCGAAGTCGAATTGGTGCAAAGTGCGTGTTTTGCGTGTGGTATGTCCAGCTGAAGATCTGTATGTATTCGATTTCCCGAGTCATCCGTGCGACTCATGAACTAGACGTGGGCTATATGACTCGTGGGGCGAGTAGAGACATTCGCTCGCAATACGTGCGACGCACGCAACCCGGCGAACACAACGCCTGCCTTTTCGGGCATCGACGATCGCCTCCTCAGTTGATCGCATTGCTCGACGCCGGTTGGTGGCCGTCCACTCGCGCTCAGAGACTCTGCCCAACTTTGGACGCGAGGATAGCGATGAGTTTGGGGCTTATCGGCGCGAAATAGTGCTCTTAGCCGGCATCGACTGTGTGCCCGCAGCCCTACCCATGGTTTGGTACATATACGGCGCCGCGACGGGCGGTGAGTGTAGTCCATTGAAGACTTCGCAGCTCGTTGATTGTAATTGTCGCGCATGGCACCTATTCCTCGTCCTGTCTGTGGTAAAGGAGGGATCACATCGCTCCAGGACGCCATGGGCCTCTCAGCGGACCCGGGGACGTTTGACGCGATAAAAGTGCGTCTGCTTAGGTCTCGATAGCGAAACCATCGTCATGGAGAATTAATGGGCGAACCACGTCTGCCGCACAGAAATGTCTGAGAGAGCTCTCGAAGGATATACTGGACGAAGGCCACCCGTTCGGACAGCAAGATCCTGCGAAGTGGGAAACGTTCGTCCAGAAGGTGAGTGCTCGGATTCAACGAAGCTAGTCTGGCAGCGGTCGTGGCGAGGTCGTGTCGCTGATGCTTCCATGCGTCCAGGCTGTCGCGCGGCACCCGCTGTTCAGAAGATACAAGAACCAGTGGCCGATAAAATGGTACATGCGCAAGTGCCTGGGCCATACATCGTATAATGCTCGCCAGCAGTGCAAGGTGAGTGGCAACGCGGAGGTTGTCCAAAGAAGGTGTGAAGCTCGTCCGGTAAGTAGTCGGATTCTTCTCATTTCACACTGCGTTGCTCAGCTCGATCAATCTGCTGGAGTCGTAATTTCCGGGGCGATGGTGCCAGCTTCTCCGCAGAGCGATTCCAAATATGAGCCTGAGTGTCATAGAGTCAGCTCGAAGGTGAGCAACGTTCGACAAATGCTGCGATAGCCATGCATACACTGACAGTGAGTAGGAAGTTACCGTTGGGAATAACGTGAGAATGGTTGTGGCAGGTGAAGCGGCGACTCCTTCATGCGTCAAGGAATTCGTCGCATGGCTTCGATCCCGGTGCATAGATCTCAGCCGTGCTTCCAAGAGGCAGGCTTGATGAACCAGGTGGATTTTTTATCGCTGCTGGAGTTTTCAGATGCCGAACGACACATATTTCTTACGGGTGATCTGGGGCTGAATAGGTTTCAGGCCAGACAGGTCGCAGTGGTTCTTGAAGATGTTCGCAGAGCTAGTTCCCGGAGGCAGACGTGATGTGCAAAGTCGGTTCTTGTATACACGGCGGTGATATTTACTAATTATGGTGACGCGGTATTCACTTGAGCAAGAGCGCAGTGGACGATTCGCGGCATGGAGACACAAATGTGGCTGTTATAGCGGCGGAGATCATGCACATGAGTCAATGAAATGCACTTCGTGCAGTGATCATATGCTTTGAATCACACCTCATGCAATGCGTGCGTGCGTTGATCCATTCAGGAACGAGGTCACCGACGATGCATTCAGGTCCTACAAATTTTGATACGGAGGGAATCCGTATCGTGGCAGTCCATGAACCGCCGGAAGGCAAGCCGCCGTCTCTCTGTCTCGGAGGGTACATAAGACAGTCTCCACTTCTCTATATTCTTGCGGCATTCCTACCATGGCTCCGCAGCTCATCAATGAACCTCCTCCTCGTCGCTCTATCTCTCTGCAGCAAGCAATGAAACTGCAAAACGAGGATAGGGCATTTGAAACCGCCAAGGTCTTCTGTTCTGATAGCAACCATATCTGCTACATTGACATGAAGATTTCCCCCGCTGACGACAGAAGTGCCTACGTGCACTGTCAAAAAAATTTCTAGATGTCCATGTCCCATATACGCAACAAGACCCCGAAAGATGGGATATATTCGTGCAGAAGGTGAGCCATTTTCTGTGAAAACAGCGAGAATTCGAAATAAGTAATCATTGCTATCTAGGCTATCAATCGCTATCCGTTATTCAAGAAATATAAGGATGCATGGCCGATCAAATGGTATATGATCAAGCACCTGGGACACACCGCGTATGTATCCCGACAGCAAACCAAGTTTGGACAAGGGGGCAGAGGACAAGTTGCCAATAATCCAGAGTCAGACAACCCAGATGCAACGATGGGCGAGTCAGACCTTAAAGGAAGCACAGTTCTCCCTTTAGGAGATCAAGTGGTGAGTCCACTCCTTATTTCCTATTATGTCTTGGCTTCATCTGTAATATAGCAGGACCCTGTGTCTGCAACCTCAGGACTGGCTGCGACTGACCCCAGGGTTGAAGGTTTGACAGGTCAAACATCCACGGGAGGGAACGGGGATGTCCAAACCAGCAACATTGACATAGTGAGTCTCAATGATATATTATATCACATGAACATCTCTGGTCTAGGTCTTGATGATGCTGTTGATAGCTAGGTGATGATTCCATAAGCAACATTACAGTAGTCACATCTGCTTCATGCTCTATGTGGTCACAACCTGGGGATGATCCTGATCAATTGGTGAGTATACTACATAGCCCATGACTTCAGAGTTGCACTACTCAGACACCTTCATAAAGAATAAAGCAATAGAGGCATTAGTGAGTCCAGGGGCAGAAATCTCCACACAACAGTCATCAAAACCATTGGACCTCAAAAGACTGACACCTGGCAGCAGCTTCTCTGATTTTATGAAAACATGCAGGATTGACCTCAGTGACCTTATTGAATCCTTATCTGCTGCAGGGTTGGATAGCATCAAAAGGTTTCTTTTATTACTTCAATTTCTGGAGGCTGAATGTTGGGCATTCCTGAAGGACAATGTGGGACTGAACAGATTTCAACTGAGGCAGGTCACAGTGGTATTGGATGACCTGTGTAGGTCTTTTTAGGCAGGACACCCCGGAGTGTACAATGATGAGGATGCCATCCTTGAAGCAATTGCCAGTGTATACGTAGACCAACAAATATATTGTGATTAAGTTTGAATATGGCTCAACTCGGACCGCGTGGGCGTCTCTGGTCTTGTTTCCCGGACGCGTGGTCATAGCACTTGAAGCGCCACAGACCCGATCGCGACACTCCTCAGACCAACCTCCCTTTCTTTCTCCGCTCTACCACCTCCCTCTCTCCTTGCAGCCAGTGCATCTCCACTATGGCTGCCTCGTCCACATCTTGGATGCCCCCAGCTGGACGGCACACAGTGGACATCGGTCCATCCCTCGGTCGCGCCCTCAAAGCCCGCAAGGGAGGTGCGGCACCTACGAAAAGCAAGATCCCTGACAGGGATTTCTACTCCTTTCGATGTAAGCACATGCAGCAGGCATATATCTGTGATATGCTGATGGATGCACTGCGTTGGTTGTGTGACAACAGACAATTTCAAACCAGAGTCTGTAGACGCGACGCGCCCGGGGACCATTGAAGTGAAGCGAGGGAAGGATGCAACAAACGTTACTGTCGAGCGGGCTAGCTCACAGGTGCGTATGGCTATTGATACTGGCTCATGTCAATTTTGAACTATCCTCATCGCTTGCCTTACGCCCAGGTCGAGGACGGCGGGCATTTGTTCGTTGGGCAAGAACATGCCTCCAAAGAGTGGGACTGTGTTCTGATTTATGATGAGGAGATGGGTGTACGTCTCCTTTCTCGGAATTTCGCAATTGGCCCGACGGCCCTTATGTCTGCGTGCAGACATACACATTAGAGAAGATGGATTCGTTCCTCAATCTCACGTACGACAAAAAAATTACTCGCGCTCCCCGGCACCCAGGTTCGCGTACGTCCGCAAATCAGTTTCTTCAGTCCCATAGTCATTTCTTACGAGTTCCGATGTCTTGTTGCATTTATGGCCTGTTATGTTACAGCCCTACCAGCAACCCGCGTCGCAGGATCTTCATCCACAACCAACCATTCACATCCTATTGCAACAGCTCATGTGCCAGCAACTTCGAAGTCCCATGTTGATCTTGATCTTGAGGCAGAGCTCCTCGAAGGCCTGGAGGACGCCCTTGGATCTCCAGATGACGAGGCGCCTCTTGCTTCGCAAGTTCCTGTGCCATCAAAAACGAAAGTAAAGGCTCCTGTACGGCCCAAATTCGTGAAGACAGACAAGGCAAAGAAAGAGCTTTCGCAGGCAGACAAAGCTTCGCTCAGAAAGGAAGAGGAGGAGAGCGAAGGAGAAATCATTGAGCCGCTTCGACCTCCATCAACATTACCGGAACGGCCGTCTGAACCCAGTTCGGTGCCCAAGGCAAAGCCGAAACTCACCAAACGCCCTCGTCCTGAGGCTCCCTTGTCCCAACCTCAGTCAGTCATGGCAACACCTCGACAAACCCATGTTCCGGTACCTGTTACCTCCCCGGCTTTACCCAAAGTCAAACCTGCGACTGGGACCCCCAGTAACAAGCGTGCACATCCGCCCAGTGTCGAGGAGGAGGTTCTCGAATTTTCCCAGCCGACGCGGCCCGCGAAACGATCACGACCGTCACCTCCTCCTGTGCTACAGAAAGAGAAGGACAGCTTCGACCTCGCTCTGCCTTCGTCGTCATCAAAGATGTCCTCGCTACCTACGGAACCCGTAGCACTATCTCTTCCAGGGCCTAGCACTGCAATCTCATTGCCGTCCGCGCAACCAGTACATACCACGTCCCTAGACTCAGACGAGGAAGAGTGGGATGAGATACCTGCACCGGTTGTCCCACCAGCACCACGCGTTGTCGAACCTCCACCCCTTACGCGGACAATCATGATGGAGGAGATTGATCCGGCTGCGGAAGCTGCAGATGAAGACGACGAGGACGAGGACATGGAAGAGATGGAGATTGACATGAACGCGTTTGAAGCTGAAATGAACCAGCAGCTCGGCGGCGCTCAGGAGGTGGAGGTGGAGCCTGTGGAAGACGAACCAGATGATTTTCTCGCTGGAGCGATTTCACCTGTGGCGGATCGACCCTCAGGCGGTGGTGCGAGCGCAATTGATTGGGGAGACGATGAGGATTTCTCGAGCAGCGATGAGAGCGACGAAGACTAGTTCTGCATATGTCCGATGAGTGCGTGTCCTGCAGTTGGATGTCGAGGCGCGGGCTTTGGATTCACGGGCTTGTCTTTATTTTGTTGTCCGAGTGTTTATACTTATATGTTGTATTAGCATATTGTACAGGATCAACCATCTGATATACCTGACCTTTCCATAATTTCACATTTACCTTTGCGCGGTGACTCTGAGCAGAGCGCTCGATTGATTCATACAGGTTGGGTCTTGTGCGTGCGAAGGGCGATCACACGAAGAACATGACCGCGACCAAACTGCGACTACACGACGCAATAATGTCTCTTCCTGTGAATGTTCTCGAATCAGTACAGTATCAGCCCTGAGGATTACAGAATGGTAAAAGGCACCGAGTCGCGAGTTGCTATTTAATTAGTATGCAGCTTGGACGACCTCGTGGTCACCCAATCCTCCGCTCAACTCTTACTCTCGCAATGCGTGTGCCATCAAAACCTATTCCGAAATCTCCTGACAGATCCTCTCTGAGGAAACGCATGCACATCACGGAATCAAAATTTAGAGAACTGACTGTAAGTCATGAATCATGAGAATCGTGCTCCCATTGATGTACGGATGTAATAGGCATGCTTGCGCACTCTTGCAGATCAACATCTTGATGTGCGGCTCACGTATGCGACGCAGAATCCGACGGCAAAAAGAAAGCTCCAAGATGAGGCAAGTGAAAATTTCTCACATTCAACTTGAGAACGTTGAAATGCTGACCTAGACTTGGAGGCATGCGCAAGACATCCATTTTTGCGAAAGTACTACGAAGGAGCCTGGCCAATAGACCAGTTTTTGGATCGCTACGTGCGTGCAAGGCGACACTGGATAAAGAAGAGTACTGGCATTAGACACGGTCATCGAGTTCCACCCACCAACCTCAATCAGTCGCAGAAGAAAGTGCCAGCGTGTATTAAAGGCTCGTTAATAGTCTCGGGGAAAGTGCAGCAGTGACCTGACCCCGTTGCTCAGTTGACCACGCCCAGACTTATCAAGCTCAGACTGACGATCGACAAATCGAAGTCACGGTGGGCCAATCCCCTGTTGCAGAATCTCGCAAATTGATGAACGGCACGGTTTTCATATTAGGTTGAGCCCATCGCTGCGCTTGATGAGGTTACGAGTGCTTCGAGCTTGTGTCCCAGTTCAACTTGGCCCGAAGTTGCGGTTGAGACCGCAGCTGCATCGGAGTCTAATACTGGCTCCTTCCTACAGTTCATCCAACGGTCCAGTCCGAAGCTAGAGAAGTATATTACAGCATTCGGTCAGGTAGGAATTGACAGCAAAGCGGGCATTCACATGCTCCTTGGGTGGCCAGAAGAGTATTGCATTGACCTTGTTCGAAAAGATATGGGACTGACACCCAGCCAAGCGGACGACGTCTGTCAAGCATTGGATGAGCTGACATTGTAACTGTTGCCGTGATCGTGATGCAGGCAGAATGAGAGATATTGAAAAGGCATGTATTAAGCGGGGAACTAGAAGAAAATAGTATTAATATACATTCGTACGAGAATATACAATCGTAGGTATGAAATCTTGTAATGTCATCGTATCCTAGCGTTCAATCGTCCAGTTATCACGCATTACAACATATACCTGTAGTCTGGGTTCAAATCACCCATTTCTGCCTTTTCGTTGTCCGTGAGCATCACGGTGCCCTTCACAAGGGCTCGATCTCGTCGCTGATTCTCTAAAAGAACACCAAGGAAATAGATGACATCTGCAAGAGCGGACAGGCAAATGAACACGACACATAGTGTGTAACCGGAGATGTAGTCGGGGGCATCCTTTGCAAGGAAGGCATACACGGCGATGATTCCACCAACTAATGCAATACAACTCGTTAGATTTTCATAGACAATGATATTACAGGTTTAAACTTACTGTTCCCAAAGCCAATTTGCCAGGCTGTGCCCACTGCACGTCTGCGATGACCGGCAACTGCATCAAGTCAATGAAGTCCATAGGCAAACCGGAAGTAGATGCGACGCACGATTGGTATTAAACCAGCATATCATCATTGGCATGGCAGAGTACGTGCCTGTGCTTGCCAGGAACAGTGCCGCGTACTGGAGGTGCGTATTGTCGTGTACTACTAGTAGAATGATAAATCCCGCAAGGCCGATTGCGGTAGGAATAAGAACGAAGAGGAAGCGATGACGAAAGTGGTCGGACGCAACGGCGACAGTCATGGCGAGGACGAAGCTACACGCCCATGGAGGAACGGAGAGCAGCTGTGTGCGAATCGCGCCATGTCCGAGCGTCGCAATGATAGAGGGAGCGAAATATGCTGAAAAGAAAGATGAACTTCCGGGAGATCCATTGCAAAAAAGATTGCGTACCATAACCGTAGGCTGGCACAATGATGCCGAAGTACATGAATCCTCCCACAATGATTTTATCTACGGGCTCAGTTTAGCAATGGTCAGCCAGTGTTCCCTTCAAGGACTCACAATCCTTGAAGACACTGAGGATCCCGCGGATAGTCAATGGGTCGTGCCTCCTGGACTCTCCCACATCAGCTTTCAGACGGTCCTTTACGAACTTCTTCTCAGCGGCCGTCAACCATGTTGCCTCCTCTGGAAAATCAGAGATGGCGAAGGACAAGAGAAGGGAGATAACACAGGTAGCCACGCCCTCTGTATCAGCAGACAGAAGTCAACACTTACGGGAGTCGCTTGAAACAATAACAAGATAACAAACCTAGAATGAAAATCCATCGCCAACCGCGATAACCCCGCATTCCGTCCATCTTCCCAATCGCACTGGCAAGGAGGCCGCCAAATGCACCTGCCAATGTGACAGAACAGAAGAAAAATGTATATCGCTTTTGTGCCTCTGCGCGTTTGTACCACCTGTGTATCGTCAGCGGAGTCAAGCCCGCAGAAAGATGCATGACCAGAGAACGAACATTGCGATCAAGTAGAAACACGCAGGGAAAACTCCACTTTCGGCGAGACCTAGAATACAGGTGAATGGCATTCAAAGGATGAGTGGGTAACAATCACCTAAGAAGAAGCGACAGGCTACTAAGCCGCTATAGTTGCGGACCAATCCTTGACATATAGAGACAAGACCAAAAAAGAACATGCAAACTGACACTGAACAACATCAGAGTGAGAAAGTATTTAAGGCAGCATGGATGAAAAAGACATACGCCAGATATGCGGTCTAAAGTATTTGAGCAACGCATTCGAGGGTATTTCAAAAAGGACGTAGGGCACAAAGCTGAGGAAATTTTGAGTACCAGATAAATATTAGAGCTCGGAGACTCACAATACTACTAGAGCGTTATTATACTGATCGCCAACGAGATGCAGATCTTCGGTGAGACCAAAGACGGCGGCATTTGATATATTCACACTGCACAATATAAGCTGGGTGTAAACGTGCCGAACGCACTCAACGTCTATGAACTCACCGGTCGAGAAATGCCAGAAGATACAATAAGCACAAGACCGGAATGACATGCTTATCTATCTTGTGGACTATCGTCGCTTCGTCCACTGCGTCAGGTAATTCGGCCTGTGAGTCGAGGTCCTCTTCAATGTGAGGCACAGGACCATGCTTCTCAACATCTTCAATGACAGAGACTCTAGGCTTTTTCACTGTACAATTTCATATTCCATAAATGACATTTTTGGAGCAAAATCACTGAGAACGTACGCTCCTCCGAATCGGTGTTCATCGCTGAAATGGAGCGATTCTGTAGGATAGAAAAAGCCCCGGGCGTGGCGAAGAGGAAGACGGAGTCCTGAGTGGCGTGGTGGTAGCCATCGGACAATTTGTATGGAACGGCTAGCTGAACAACTGCTGGAAGATGGATGAAAGGATTTCGCCTCGAAGTGCGAGTGAGAGCATTCTTGCCCCGATTGGGCAGTCTCGTAGGAACGCCAGGTCATGATTGGCTGGAGCCAACTCCGGTCCTGTTCATATCTAATCAAGCTAGCGTCCCATCTTTACTCGTCCTCTTCTACGGGACTGGGACGCCGATTACATAGCTTTGACTGGGCCTGCCTATTGAGCAATAAGCTGGTGCATCGCCAAGCAGAAAGCCTTGGCTTGTCTTGTCCGAGACTATCGTTGTCCTTGCGAGTCGATGTAATATATCCTGCGTGGAATCAACATGGAGATTGATAAATAAATGTGTTGGTCGCAGCCAGCAGACCACTTGTTATATCATCCCATTCTTTTGGTACTCTTGGCATCATTGAAGGATCATCGGGTCATCACTTTCAGTGCGTCATTAGGTTTAGCCGTCTTGAAGTCAATGACATAATTTACTCGCTGTTGCGCATCATAGGGACCCGAGGTAAATCGAGGTGCGTGCCACTGCGTGGATCGACGTATGGTATACTTATGGCAGCTGGATACAAGCAAGATGTAGTCGTCGCCCGCTATGGTTGCAACTACTTGCTATAGGGGGCGATGGGAAGGACGTGGATTCGAAGAAAGGAGGAAACAACTCGCCTTAAGTATGCCACCACACATCCGGCCCAATTTGTCACGTTGCGAAGCTGACTCGAACGCATGCAGTACCACACAGACTGATGCTATATGGGAAGAGAATTCCTCAAGTGTGGAGTTCTTGTCAGTAGGCATCGAAATCACTTTTTTGATCGGCAATCATTGAAGTCTCTGCAAGTTCCCGTACGTCCAAGTCATCATAGAGTCCCGTACGGGTCCCAGTCCAGCCAATGAACACCTTGTTCTCTGTCAATTCCGCAGCGAGACTATTTTACTTACATTCCTGTTCACGACGATTCGCCGTTCGTGCAGCCAATGGTGTTTTGACCTTTATCATGCTGCACTATACCATCCACGCACGTCCGCTGTGGGCCAACGCGGATCTCATGCAACACACAGTATAAGAAGGGACTCATTCCTGACTATGAACCTCATCCCCGACTACCAATCTCAACACTCAATTTACAATGTCTGTGAGTACCGGCCCAGCTCAAACAACATGCTTGAGCCTTTATGGTCGAATAACACATCTTCACAACAGGACACCGCGAAGTGCGCAAAGACCGAGGCTAACGGCGGCACCTGCAACTGGCCGGCATGCGGCTGCGCTGAGCCCCCCAAGAGCAAATAGGCTGCTATGCTCATTCGTCAAGTAAGCACGGCTGCATGGCATTGACGACGTGCAAACCTAACGGGAAGCCCTCTTCGCTCATAGTGATGCGCGCCTGAGGACTGGACATCTAGCGAGATTGAGAATGGTACCTTCTTGATCAGTGATAGGAGTACATTCTTCGGAAAATAAGACGTAGCACTTGTTGGAGCTTCTAAGCAGTGATGGATATACAAGTTTTCGTTCGTGTGCCTTGAGAAAATTATGTTAGCGAAGAGCTACAGGCCCCTGATCAAACCTGTACCTGAGCCTGTCCATGGCTGGGGATTTATATAAATAAGAGGATTCTTGAGTTTCACTATCCTCGATCACCCGGAGATATTCCAGTATCTTCCTCGATATTCGCAGCGTTCCGTAGCCAGAATAAGTTGTCTGTATCCTCGCCAGCGAAGGGAGCCTCGACACCACCGTTGAAGCAAGGCGTCCTTGGTTTCAGTGCTGCCAAACGTGCAGCGTCTTCTAGGTTCTCACAAAGGAACCCTCGATTGTCGACCAAGCGAACACTCTCGTCTGCTGCTAACTCGAACAAGTCGAATGCTATTGAAATCTCCAGCGACAGCAGCGATGAGGGGGATCATAGCACTCAGAATAGTGGAGGAAACGGGGAAACAGAGTCCCAATTCAGGGTCAGCGGCACAAGTACTAGCAGCAAGCTAGACACTGTGGATCCTGTTGGCCGTGAAGGTGAGCCTGCGCTGAAGAAGAGACGTGCCGTGAAGGGTGTCTTTGACTCGAGAGATGGAACCGAAAATATCGAAGCCGCGGAGAGCACTTCACCTGAGGAGGCCTCAGTCCCGCTAAGTACAACGGAGCCTGTGAATTGAGCTTGATCTCGCCTTCAATTCTTGTGAACCACAACCAGGACATGAATGAAAATCTGCTAGAACAGGTTAGCATATAACTGCGACGGCCACTGCAAATGTCGCGTTAGGCTAGTCAACAGCATGCATACAAAAGCTCATTACTGCTCACAATTTGTGCTGAACCAGCGCACTGTGATTGACATTGCCGAGAAGGTGCCTATAGCTGCCAAAAATAGCGCTGCATACTGCAGATGCGCGTTGTCATGTATTACAACCAGGATCATGTATCCCGCGAGCGCAATGGGAGTTGGCATGAGCACAAAAAGGAAGGAATGGCGGACATGATCGGAGACAATCGCGATAAGCATGGCGAGGGCGGAACTGGATGCCCAAGGAGGGACGGACAGAAGCTGCGTACGGATTGCGCTGTGCCCGAGCGTCTCGATGATCGCTGAAGCGAAATAAGCCAAAGGGGGGGTTATTAAAGGCTAATAACTGTTGAATACCGATACCCACCGTAGCCATAGGCAAATACCGCAAGTCTAAAAACACATCACTCCGGCTACAACGATCTCGTCCCGGACTCGAATTAGCAAGACATAGCTGAGAAAGCTCTGAGTATACGTACAATCTTTGAAAGCAGTAACAGTGCCTCTCAATGTCAGCGGTTCATGCCCTCCGGGTTGTCGCCTTCGGACTCAGAAGCATCGCTGTACTTCTCTGTATCGCCTGTGACGTTACTGCTCGTCGCCCCAAGAGCGAATTGTTGATGCGATGAGGTGCTGAAAATGATTTACATCCATCTAGGCCCTGATACATCGCAAATGGCACATTTTCACAGGCAGATGACGCGTAGAACGCGAGGGGAGAGAGCGGGCCTGTATTGCGCATCAGTGCTTATGAAGTCATTTTCGTATGTCAGATGGTAGACAGTATACTGAACATAAAGCAGTTGGACGCTGAGTATGAGATGCCTCTGGCTTGACGTGCAGGGAGCACAGCCATGCACTAGTCGGCTGCATTTTGAAAGACATACGCTAATTGGCCGGGACTTCCAGTCTCGTTCTCGCAGTCGCAAGCCTCGTCCTCCGCGAAACCATGACCCAGCTGAATTGTACCCTTGGTCTTATGCAAGTTGGTCACCGGTGGATGGTCACCAGTACCGATCTCACGAGAGGATAGGGTGCTCGGCGTCCAACAAGTAGCCGATTTCATGGGTAGATCGTGGGTGGCACCAAGATTTTGCAATATTCGGGTACTACGAAAGCTACCGCCAGCTCGAATTTTATGGGAACAATGTTTTATGTCGGCTTCGAGACATTCACGATCGCTTGATAACTCACATGATGGATCTAGCTCTGAGAGGTCGATCCCGACCCCACCGCGCGGACGTACGCATCGCGGGTCGTCGACAGAGGCACTTAAGCTTAATCATTCGAGAAATGTCGCGCATGCATCGTCAGATTCTGTACACCCACAATAAAGTCAGCCCGTACAGTTATGCATACCGCAACGAAACACATACAATTACACACGCACGACTGTAGTCGCGATTAATCACGAAGCTCTTCCATCTAACGCAGGCGTATCTGGCACAATTTTCTCATCGTTGTCTCGCACGCTGTCTTCGGCAACCTCAGTGATATTTTGATTTTCTCGAAGATTTTCAGCGAAGTGGACTGCTCGCACACTTTCGCTAGGAGGCATCACAGGATCTGCTGGATCTGTGTGTGGGGGGGCAGCATCTGCCTGGACAGCATCCATTTCGGCATCGTGGGATGTAGGACCTTGTGCGCTTGCTTTGACAGAATCAGCGAGCGGTACTTGCGGCGCAGGCTGTCCCTCGAGGTGAGTGGACACAGACATCAACGAATTCCTTGATGAAGGGTCTTTCCGGTCGGCTAATTCAACGATCACAGCGTGACAAGAAAAGGATGCCTAACGCACTGGACTTCTTCCTATGCTCGTACAGGGTCTTGCCTATAGATTCACGAATGCTCGATACAAAACGAGGGTCAGATAGAGCTGGTGCATCTGCCACAGCACGCTCAACTATGGGATATCTAGACCGGTCAATCTGCACGGCCAAAGCAACAAATATGACGAGATACCTGTCCAGTTCTTGCATCAACTCTCTGATCAGCATTGGGTCTGGCATGTATTGCAGCTTTGGGTCGGATGCAAATTTCTGCCGTGTGATGTCCTCCACTCTGCTCATAAGTGAATTCATGCCATCCTGCAGAGTGTTCTGGGTGAATGTGCGAGTTGGTTGCAACGGGGTAAGCTCACGCTGCTCCGGAATTGCGCTAGGAGCTCCCGACGTAGTCTATCGAACTCTCCCGACTTCTTGAATCTGTAGGTGGAAAGTCAGAAACATGAGAGATAGTCTATCGACGAGAGTGCGTACTCTTCGACCAGCTGGTCTGGGTTGAGGATAGTCATGACAAAACTCGAACGTTGGAATAAAGGGCTCAAAGAGTCTGTGCCGAAAGCGGCAATACAAATTCCGCGTGGTCACTCGCATTTCGACCGCAAGCCATGCCGTTGCATCTCTCATCGACTGGTGTCGTCGCCCTTTGTACTTATACGTATTGGCAGCGCAAGCCGCCTTTCACCCCCTAGTCAGCAGATAATCATGACCGCTGATTTTCCTCCGCTCAAGAACGATCTTCTCCTGCGGGCTGCGCGAGGTGAGTCTTCACTTTGTCGACGACGAGAGGGGAAGCCAGACATTTGGCAGGTGAGCAGACCGAGCGGGCTCCAGTATGGGTCATGCGACAGGCGGGACGATATCTCCCTGGTCAGTTTTCCTCTCCTTAATCCCATACCCTGACCTTCACCTGACTAGAATTCCGTGAGGTGCGGGCGCAGCACGAATTTCTCAAAATATGCAGGACGCCGTCGCTCGCGACGGAAATCACGATGCAGCCGATCCGGCGATACAAAGGCCTGCTCGATGCTGCGATCATCTTCAGCGACATCCTCGTCATCCCCGAGGCTCTAGGCATGGAACTCATCATGAACCCCGGCCCTTTCTTCCCCGCACCGCTCGACACGCCTGCCGACATTGCCAAACTCCGCACTGAGGTCGACGTTTACAAGGAGCTCGGGTACGTCTTCGATGCGATCACGATGACCCGGCGCGAGCTTGATGGCGAGGTGCCCTTGATTGGCTTCTGCGGCGCGCCGTGGACGCTGTTCTCATACATGATCGAGGGTGGTGGATCCAAGACTTACCAGAAGACAAAATCCTGGCTATTCAAGTGGCCAGAAGAGTCCAAAACACTATTAAAGCGCATTGCCGACATCTGTGTGGATTTCTTGGTCGGGCAGGTTAAGGCAGGAGCTCAGGTAAGCAAATTTGCTCATCCCAGCATTGTTACTGATATCTTATGACTTCAGCTCCTACAAGTCTTTGACTCATGGGCAGGCGAGCTTGCGCCGCATCACTTCAGAGAATTCTCCCTCCCACTGCTCAAGTATATCTCTACCACTGTCCGAAGCAAGCTCGCGGCGGAAGGCATTCCCACCGTGCCCATGACACTTTTCCCAAAAGGCGCGAATGCGGACCTTGCCGCCATCGCTGAAGGCACAGGATACGACACGATTAGTTTAGACTGGTGCATCGAGCCCTCGGAGGCACGACGTCTCGTTGGCGATAATATCGCGTTGCAGGGCAACCTTGATCCAAATCTGCTGTACGGCGGACGGGATGCGATTGAGAGGGAAGTCAAACGGATGTGCGCCAGCTTCAGGGGTGGCAAAGCTTCAAAGGGCTGGATCGCCAACTTGGGACACGGAATCACGCCGGGGGTGGACCCAGAGGATTTGCGTTGGTTCTTTGAGTGTGTGCACAAATACTCATCTGTATCTTATCAAGTGTGATTAGGGTTGTCGAAGCAGGGAGGATGTAAGACTGCTTGGCTTGAGAAGCAAAACCATTGGTTGCATGTAATGATCATATGTATGCTTACAGGTATATACAATGTGGCATAAATTTCTACGTACAGACAGTCCCGACCAGATGGCAGATGCATCAGATAAGTGATCCGCATGCGTATTGTAGATGGAAGTGGATATGCAAAGATGAGAGAATGCAGATGCGAAATGATAGCGACAAACGAAGGAGGTATCCAGGATAGCAATAGATATCGACAATGCAATGCAACCAAACGCTCAACAATTGGTACTACGATGGATGGGAGGTAAGGACCAGCCTTCGCGAATCACCTCCAGTCACGTCATGCGACAACGTCGGCCGAACTGAAGCTACTTCTCCTCCGCCGCACACTCCGCAGGTTTGGTCGTTCTGATTTCGAACCGGGCACTACCACCGCCGCCACATTGTTCGTCATCCACGCATCTGCAGCTGCAACGGCAGACTTAACTGCCGCCGCCACCGCCGCCGGCCCTTCATGGACTGAAGTCGTAGAACCATGATGTGCCCGCTTAGCCACTAGGGTGGGCAAACGCGAGGGGGTGGGCGACGGTGGATGTCTAAGCTGCCGTGTGGTGGAGGGAACGGTCGTCTTCGCGCCTGTTGCAGTACCGCGTGCGCTCGTGCCGTTCGCAAGGCGAGGGATTTTGTTCGGTGACGGCCCATTTGTCTTGGCGGATTTTGCGACCCCAAGCGCGTTGCCTACCTTCCGTGTTGCAATACTTGCAGCAGACCGCGTGACCCTCGTCGGGCGCTGCTCAGACGCGCTAATGCGAGTTCCGGGCGTGCGGATTGAAGACGACTTCGTCTTGACGCGCCTGACGGGTGCCGGAGCAACTCCTAAAGCAGGAAGTAGGTCATCCTCTTCCTCAAGGTCTGAATCCGACGCTAGTCTTTTCGCAACGGGCGTCTTACGCGGCTGAGGTGGTGGTGTAATCTCACGAGCCTGAGCAGTGGCGCGTACGACATGTTTGTTAGGGGTAACAGGCGGGAGCGCAGGTGGCGGCGTTGTAGGCTCTACTAGCACGGTGGTAATCGCAGCACTAGAATCGGTTGTGACCTCCATACGGTTATCATCTTCTGCTGGAGGTGTTGCCGGAGCAACTATAGCAGTGGCTGCCATGATGGAGGCTGTTTGATGTTTCTTCACCTCATCAAATGCGGCCCACTTGCACCACTCGAGTTGTTTGAGGTACATATACTGTTGCTGCGGTCCGACCACGCAACCGGGTCGTGCTATGCGCATGAAAGCGATAGCTTCAGAGGCTGTAAAACCATACTTCCAAATAAGATATGCTCCAATCAACGTCCCCGTGCGACCAAGTCCAGCTTTGCACTGGTGAGAAGTGGAATAAGCCCTAGGGTGGACGCTAGTTACAAGATACTCACGTGCACAGCTACAACACCACCCGCGTCCACAACCTCGTCCGCCATATCAATGAACTTCCTGACAATCTCATCGGTAGGATTTGTTCCGTCATCGAAGTACAGTTCTTGATGATTGATGCCTCGATCCTCGAATACTTGCCGGTCGTACAGAGCATTGTTGAGGCGTACAACAAGCTTGACATTCTGTCTCTCGAAATAGCCCAAGCAGTTCAAAAACGGTGTGGGTAGTTTCCGTTGAAGGGCAAGATTCCCTGTACCAGATTTAGCTGGTGACGCACTTGGATTCGGGGAATTCGCCTGCTCCATCCTCTCTTTCTCGCGTTTAATCCAAATGGGATCTACGGGGGATGCAAATGCGATGAAGTTCGGTGTTATCCAGTTCCAGTCGCCGTTCTCAACTTTCTCGTAATATTCGTATTCTTCCACATCAAATTCGTTCATATCACACAGTCCGTTCTGCATGGCTTTATAGACGCCCCAGAGACAATCCTGGATATTGAGATTGAAGTCGGAACGTCCTCGTCCAGCGTCTCTGAATGGCATAAACTCGATCTCTGCAATTGGGTGGAAAGCCTCCCATGGAGGTCGTTGCTGAACAATCATCTGAAGATATGGTACACCAGCCGTCACATTACACAATAGGCCGAGGTTACTCACAACATAAAGTGCCATAAGCAACGCGGCATTGGCCTTCTTGCGAGAATCACTCGATGAATATAAAACAAGGCGATGTGAAGACAACGCTTGGTCCTGCAAACAGCTGTCATACACCCATCGACACACAGCGGCTCTTCTCGACGCACCTGGAGGAGTTCGTGAATAAGAATACATGCCTTATATACCATTGCGAGATTCAGAGGACCCCAATCTTGAAAGAAGGATAGATAGAGTAGTTGGTCGTCGATCGTGAAGTAGTAGTACTTCGCGTCATCGTCGGGTGTGACGGATGACGATCCCGAAGGAGCCCCGCGGACCTGCGGAGTATTATCCTGTTCATTCGCCAGACGATTCAGAATGTCTGATCTAGGCGGAGGGTTGTGGAAAGTCGTAAAGTAGAGTCTGAGTAGAGCGGATCAACTTCAACATGGATGGTGTGCGGAGATAGACTTAGGTAACACACCTTCCGCCAAAGTGACACAGAGGATCGCATGCAAGTGCCATCGCGCGAGAAAGTAGATGACACAAGACGCGACGGGAGAAAGATGGGGGAGAGGTGAGAGTCGCGACTCAGGAGGAGTTGAGCTGCAGAGGCCATTTGCAGCAGTAGGACACGGGGTCACGAGACCGACACGCGGCGTCCACCCCGCTTGTGCGCGTCTGGGTGCGTGACCGCGAATTTATCGCGATCGTCAAAATGAAACTCAAGGAGTCGGAGGACACCCCGGCGAAATTCAATCAGCCAGGGATCTCTTCAACACTAAAGACGCGGAATTCTTTGGATAACTCGTTGTGCAGACTGAAAAGGCGGTAATAATATTCCGGTCTAAACCAGAAGGTCGCAAGAGAAACCGCCAGATATGTGGCGGCATCTCGTCGCGTACTGACGTCCGGATTGGTCTGAGCACAGAGCACAGTTACCAAAGATCGTTTGCTTGTTGGTGGCTTGGTCAGACTCGGAACACCATATTCATGACTGAAAGTTCGCGATGTGGCAAGCTGTCCCCGCCTCACGGTGGCGGCTGAGCGCTGACTTGGCACGTGGATGGCAGCCTCGGAGACGCGGCGCGTTTGTCATTTGCGCTGTACGCGTTGTGCGGATACATCTCGTTCTCGGACGCGGCTGCCGTTGCTACCGCCCTTGGCTTGGCTTATCTTTGCGAGGTCGTCAAGACCTAAGTTGGCGAAAACTACTTGTCCCCTCATCACCCGTCTCTCCATCTCGAGATGCCCGATAATAATACGATCTTCAAGGTAAGGCACCCATTGCAACGACAGGATGCGTCTAACATCAGGAATTGCAGGCCACCTACAGTGGCATTCCTGTTTACGAAATGTACGCATTTTCTACGCGTTTCGACGCGCATTTAATATGCACTGTGCTTGCAGGATGTGCAAAGGCGTCGCAGTCATGCGACGTCGTTCCGACTCATGGATGAATGCGACACAGATACTCAAGGTCGCTGGCTTTGACAAGCCACAAAGAACACGTATTTTGGAACGAGAGGTTCAGAAAGGGGAGCATGAGAAGGTACAGGGGGGTTATGGGAAGTATCAAGGTGCGCTTTCCATGTCATCCGAAAAGCGCGTTTGAGTTGTATTTGAGCTACGCACAGGGACTTGGATTCCTCTCACAAGGGGACTCGAGTTGTGCAAACTGTATAACTGTGAACAGTCCCTTCGACCGATCGTCGACTTTCAGCCAGAAGAACAGAGCCCACCTCTGGCTCCTAAGCACCTGGTTACTACTCAAGCGGCCAAACCTAATTCCCGCAAAGTTGCTGCTGAAAGTGCCCAAGGGTCTACAATGAGCACTAGATCATCCCGAAGAAACCAACCGGATGTGGTCGAAGGGTCTGAGCTTGAGGCGCTGTCGGTGCGGGGCTCTGAAGACGGGTCCATGACACCTTCCCCTTCAGTTGCTTCTTCCAGCTCACGAACGCCTTCTCCTATTCGTAGCACTCCTGAAGGTTCCATGGTGACTTCGAACGGCGTCGATGGTGCTTACCGTTCACCTGGTCTCGAGAATATACGAAAACGAAAGCAACGGCCGACGGACGGGGATTATATCTCTGACCATGACGTTAATGGCGACAACAATGCTCATGATCCATCAATGTATGGCGACCAGATTCTTGAATACTTTATATCCGACACGAATCAGATACCTCAGATCTTAATATCACCTCCAGTCGACTTCGACGCTAATATGGCCATTGACGATGACGGGCATACAGCACTGCATTGGGCAAGTGCAATGGGGCGCGTCCGGATCGTGAAGCTTCTTCTTACCGCGGGCGCGGATATTTTCAAGGTCAACAAAGCTGGACAAACAGCATTGATGCGGAGTGTCATGTTTGCCAACAACTATGATGTCCGAAAATTCCCTGAACTCTACGAGCTCCTACATCGCTCGACTCTTAATATCGACAATAGCAACCGGACCGTATTTCACCATATAGTAGATGTCGCCATGTCGAAGGGCAAGACGCATGCAGCGCGCTATTATATGGAAACGGTTCTTAATCGTTTAGCCGATTTTCCCAAAGAGTTGGCGGACATCATCAATTTTCAAGATGAAGAGGGGGAGACTGCTCTGACGATGGCAGCCCGGTGCAGGAGTAAACGGCTAATCACCCTTCTCATTGATCATGGTGCAGACCCGAGGATTGCCAATCGCGACGGCAAGACAACGGAGGATTACATCTTAGAAGACGAACGATTCCGCCATTCGCCGGTCCTACCGTCGCGAGCGTTGTCCATGTCGTTCCGGAACACGCAAGCAGCGTTCCCCCCTTCCAACGCCCCATCATATTATTCCTTCGGACCTATGAACGGTGATCGACCTCCATTGCATTATTCGTCAACGGGACAAAAAGCAGCGACACGCTGTGTTAATGATGTCGCGTTGATGCTTGATAGCCTGGCTAGTGCTTTCGATCAGGAGCTCAAGGACAAAGAGCGAGACTTGAATCAAGCTAACGCTCTGTTGGGGAACATTCAAGCCGAGATTCTCGAGAGTCAGCGATCAGTCGCGCAGCTGCGCTCACAATCGCAAAGTCTGCCGCAGGTGAAGCAAAATTTGACGACTCTAGAAGAGGATCTGCGGACGAAAATGGGGAAGCGGTATCGACTCGGCTGGGAGAAATGGTCCAAAGACGAGGAAGAACGCGAGAGATCTATCCGGGACGCACATGGAGGAGAGCTTGTTGCATCTAACCTTGAAGAAGACATCTCCGACCTGTTGGCACTGCATGGAAACCTTCCCTCAGATTCTGACGCCATTCGACATGAATGTGACGCGCTGAGGGAAGAGCTGGCGGTATATAAAAGGCGTAGGAAAGACAAGTTCGAAGAGCTTGTGAGGTTCCAAGCCGAGGCCGGGACAAGTGGTCGCATGGCAGAGTACCGACGTCTCATTGGGGCAGGATGCGGTGGTGTCCCACCCGAAGAGGTGGACAATGTGTTGGGCATGCTACTCGAGGTGCGATGTTGCAATATTTAAATACTGTCCATGTGCTTACATACCACTATTAGACATTGGAATCGGAGGAACCCAGCTCCTCGTCCGTAGCATGGAGTGGAACTCCACGAGCTGGGTTGCCTGGATAGTAGGAGTTGGTTGTGCGGGTTACGTCTATGTTTATCTCGACTGCGCTCATATCTACATTGGTGTCCCGAGTGTACATGTATCACCAGTATTGTAATGTCCCATTCTCCGTGTAATAGATTATAGCAATCCAAATACCCTGTTGTTCGCAACACTATGACAAGAATAGAATAGTCAGTGTCGGATGGTCAAGTTGATTGGTTGGCACAATATATCTATTACGTAATTCATATTTACAGCGCGACAGCACTGAAAGCGTCTGTCTGCTTCAGTAGGTGATCCCTTCCTCCATGTCCTTGACCAAAGCTCAGGTTCGCAACGCGTTCGCTTCATTCGGCTTCACTCGGGACTTCAAACATCTTCAACCTATCCCAAGATGGTGGAAGAGACGCGACCCTTACACCGAAAAACCAATCCATTTCACCAAGCCAAAAGACAGGATCAAATATTGGAATATTGTTCCCGGAGATCAAGTTAGACTGCTTGGCGATCCTGCGGGCACAATATATCAAGTTAATATGGTCAACAAACTGAGCAACCGTGTTATGTTGAAGACAGAAACGGACTCGGTGAGTAATGCTGACCGAGATATGTCGGCGCAAAGAGTTTATGTCGTGTCACATTGAACTTTGTAGAACACATCTGGAGAGACAGATAGCTTGAAAACAGGCAAAAATGTGCCCTATTCTAGGTGCCAACTTTTCGTTGGCAGATTTGAATTTCCTCCTACCGGTGATTCAACCGAACCCCAAACGCTGCCGTACGTCTTCGTTCTTGTGCATAGTAAAAACCATCCATGAATAATACTCGCAGAGTGTTTGCAAAACGTTTAGCAACCTCAGAGCCGTTCTGGGATGTTACAAGACACCGTTTTGAGTGGAGTCGCTTTGCGGTGAACACGGTTCCAAGGCTTCCACACTTGACTATCGGAGAGAAGGAACGCGTCTACGTTCCCTGGCCACAGACAGACAGGCCCCCCAAAGTAGATCGTATGTTGTAGTGATTTACTCATGATTCCTCTCCTGACATCTTGCAGCTACTGCATACGACACACATGCGGATGCTGTGGCCGAGGTCACGTACACACCTCCTGATCTCCCTACTTACGTCCACTCCAGTCAACCAGTTCCGGTGCCGCCTCCCGAGGACAAGTATATCACCGCGATACGCCGGCCGGATGAGGCATCTTACGACCCTTCACAGCCTGTAGAGATTTATTTGTCCAAGGAACTCGCAAATCCCCACTCGCGCGCCAAAAAGCAGGCTCGCTGGCAGGCGCACCAAATGTATAAGCGTGATTTGCTCAAGAAGTTTATCGAGGCAGAGATGAAGAATCTTCATGGCCGCACACGGAGAGAGGCACGGGCAGAGGCAACTTGGAAATGTCGACACCAGCTCGAGGAGGACCGAAAGACCGAGTTGAAGCGCAGGTGGAAGAACCGTGGTGCAGAGGCCAGGCTGTTGCGCAAGAAAGCAAGGAAGGTGCGCAAGGCGACCAAGCAAAAGGAGAGGCTGCGCACACTTGTGCTCAAGGACGAGCCGAACCAGTTCATCCCTCAGCCTCAGGCTGCATAATGTCGATCTGTTTTAGGTATACGTATACTTTTAATTTGATTGTTATACCGCTTTGCATCTCTCGCTTTGGATGAGAATCGTTCGCTTTCGAATATGCCAGCTTTGTGCTAGATGATTTTCGCCGCGCTCGCCACAGGCGCTAATATGATCGAGGTAGGTCATTTAGGATCTCCGGGCGCTTCTATCGGCAAGTGGACCCGGTGGAGTCGATTACACCAACAGTGTCCGTTGCGCCAGCTCGAGCAAGTATTTTATCAGTTCACCATGAACCTGTTGGATCGCTTCGAAACTTACACACCCAATGTCCGCCCGCAGCTCTAATACACTCGCTGAGAACAAACCCCAGAATCAATGGCACCACGCTGATGTGCCCCAAGACGTTGGACGAGACAGCTCGAATCGTAGGGTCGCCGATGCTCCGATCCAGGCATTTGGAAGAGATGACACAAAGCGCGATCAATATCAGGTTACTTTGGACGCAAGCGAAGATCCGAAGGCCATGTCGACGTGCAGAAAGTGGGTTATAGTGCTTGTTATTAGCTCAGCAGCCCTTTGCGCGACATTTGCGTCGTCAATAGTATGTCTTTGACCTAAATACAGTCCAGCGGGTTCCGTATGAATTCCTTTATAGGCTGCCTTCACGGAAGAAGGGCTTGTGGAGGATCTGCATACTGTACACGAGGTGGCCATCCTAAGCGTCAGTCTATTTGTCTTGGGATTAGGTTTGTAACATTCACAACGCGGTGTCGGTCTAATGCCTGTACTTATCTAAGCACAGGACTAGGGCCACTCCTTGTGGGGCCATTATCCGAAGTCTATGGTCGTAATAGCATCTATCGTGCCTCTTATTTCTTCTTCTGGGTTTTCACGTGGCCAGTCGCATTTCCTCCTGATATTGGTGCGTAGGTAAAAGCTACGGTTCCTCTCCGACGTACTCATTACACCGTAGCCACATTCCTTGTATTTCGTTTTATTAGTGGGTTCTGCAGCTCTGCGTTTTTGAGCGTTGCTGGAGGGAGCGTGAGTGATTTGTTCACGAACGATCAAGTTGGCTCGTAGGTATTCGAAGCTCCTCTTTCGAAATTAGTTGGCTCACCACAGTTCAAGACCTATGGGAGTTTACACGATGTCGCCATTCCTCGGACCGGCTCTGGGACCTCTAATAGCTGGGTGAGCATAGGACAACATCCTTGCTAGAAACTTCTGATATCGAGCTTATGTGCCAGCTTCATTTGCCAAGTAGGTCGCTCACATACAAGTGGAGGGTCTTTGAATAAATTTATCGCCCCAGAACACCGATTGGCGTTGGACGTTTCGACTGCTCCTTATCATGCAGTTTGTTCTAATCATCATGCTGTTGTTGGTAAGCGCCATGACGAGATGACAGAGCCCGTACCTGTTTACGAGGGTTTTTTAGTTTGTACCTGAGACATATATCCCTGTGGTTCTCAAGAGAAAAGCCGCAGCGTACGTTGTGCAGTTGCGACATGGAAACGGCAACCCTTATGTGTAGCATACAGATTGCGCCGAAGCACAGGAAACGATCGATATTGGGCTCCTCTTGACCGAAGGGAAGGAAGTCTGGGACATGCGATTTTGCTAAGCTGTTACACTCCTTTTCGTCAGTCAATGATTGGTTTGGCTTCATGTTGCTGACTTTGATGCACGCGCTAGAGTTAATTATATTCGACCGAATGGCCCTCCTACTGGACATGTGGTGTGTGGATCGTCGAACACGAGCACGTACTTGCTTCTAACGCTGCGCAGGAATGCGCTCGTACTGGGAATCTTGTATCTTACGTTCCAAGCATACCCAATCATTTATGAGGACGTACATGGTTTCAATATGCAAGACACAGGCATGGCTTTCCTCGGGCTTGGGATTGGGATACTAGCTGCCTTGGCAACTCAGCCGCTCTGGAATCGGTATGGCGACCTTTTTGCTGCACGCACACTTCAGTCGCTCATTGTTTCATGCGTAGGTTCAACCGAAAGCAAGCCGAAAAATTCACCGGCACGCCGCCTCCAGAATCATGTCTCATCATGGGTCAGGTCGGGGGTGTCATGGTGTCAGTCAGCTTGTTCTGGCTCGCATTCACCACATACAAGGCCGTTCCGTGGATCGTGCCCATCATCGCCTCAGTGCCGTTTGGCTGGGGGGTGTACTATATCTATACGTCAACGTTCACGTATCTGATTGTCGCGTATCGACCGGTGGCAGCCTCTGCGATGGCGGGAAATACGGCTATGAGGTGTTCGTTCGCTGCAGCGTTCCCGTTGTTCGCAGGGCAGATGTATGATACCCTGGGCACTGTGGGCGCTACTGCCCTTCTGGCGGGATTGATGACGCTTATGATGCCACTGCCGTAAGTGACTCGTCTTTCCATTATTGACTAGCGGCTCTTTGATATCCTGCGGGCGTAGCTTTGTTTTTTATAGGCTTGGATCGCGATTGAGAGCAAAGTCGCGGTTCGCCGACGGCTCATGAGGCGGAGCGGAAGGAAAGGTTTCTAGGAGTGACTCTGCGACTCCGTATCGACACAAGGATGTCTCGAGCCGTGATCCGCTCCTTTACGGTGAGCCACCGCGCGAGCGTTGCAAATGCATTCCGTCCCGGGACTGCGGGACGTGGGCATCCGAAGGTCTCCCGGCGAGTTGGAATGCCTGCACGATCTGATATTCTACTACTCTAACGATTCATAAGCTAGACGACGTTTACAAATGGATGACAATAGATAGCTTTACCGGCTCAGGCGATGGGATATTGCCGTCGTCGCAGTCCTCGTGTGTTAAGTCTATTCAATGCGCAGAGTCGGTGTGCACTGTGCAGGCCAGAATGACTTGGCGGGCGGACCACCGAGCGTCTATGTGAGTGATCGGGACTTGTTATGCGACTTGCCGGAATGGCTCGGCTTTCCATCTCACCGGCCGCGGTGCATCTCGTCCCAGCTCCAAGGTTAGAAGGTTAGTCACGTCAGGGCAAGGAGACTCGGCCGTGGATAGACAATTCGATAGCGTACGATGGAACTCGCGACGGGTCATATATATACTCAGACGAATGCCACCATGCACATCATCCTCAGTGCAGCTGACGAGTCCACTCAACGTCTGACGCATCTGCATGTCTTCCAGTACCACGCCTCGCACAAGTATCGAGACACTACCTGCGGCGAATGCGGAAAAACATGGTTATGGAGAGAGCCCGGTGCTCCTTCCAGGTCCGAAATCACAGTCCAAGGACGAAGAGGCTGGGAACCCGTCTCCCTTCCCAACTATTATCCCTACCAGACTCGATGAATATCAAGTCACCCTGGACCCGAACGAAGATCCACAGAATATTTCAACGTTCAGAAAGTGGGTCATAGTACTCATCATTGCTTCCGCCGCGTTGTGCACGAGTTTTGCTTCCTCCGCTGTGCGTATGGTGTCCGCATTGTCCAAACTAGAATCGAAGTTCTGAAATTACACCCACAGGCAGCGTTCACAGAGGAGGGTGTGGCGAAAGACCTGCATACAGTACATGAAGTCTCCATATTGAGTATCAGTCTCTCGATCGAAGGCCTCGGTATGTTAAGGGTTTCATGAGAACGTCCCGCTCGCATATTCGTGCTGAGACGCGAATAAAGGACTAGGGCCGCTCATAGTCGCACCCCTATCTGAGATATACGGGAGGAACGTGGTCTACCGCGTTTCGTACTTTTTGTTTTGGGTGCTCACCTGGCCGACTGCCTTCCCGCCTGATATTGGTAGGCTCGCGTCGTCTTCGGTCTTCCGATGGCGTCCTAACACATCCTTCGGTTTTCTGCAGCTACGTTCCTTGTTTTTCGCTTCATCACTGGTTTCTGTGGATCAGCTTTCCTCAGCGTTGCTGGTGGAAGTATCAGTGATCTGTTCACGAACAGCACCGTTGCTTTGTATGTTATCCTTCAGTTTGAACCATAAATCTTCTAACATATATCCAAAGACCCATGGCAGTATATGCTATGTCCCCTTTCCTTGGTCCAGTGCTAGGCCCTCTAATTTCCGGGTGAGCCACTATGCTGACGTGAAGTTGTGGTAATGTTGCTGACGGCTTGATAGATTTATCTGTCAAGTACGTTAATGGTGTGCAACGACGATCCACATTCTGATCTCCCTTTTCATAGAATGTTGACTGGCGATGGGTTTATCGTGTCCTCCTTATATGGCAATTCGTTATGCTTGTTCTGCTAGTCTTTGTAAGTGGTCCTGGACACGGGTCTCCTGCCATTAATACAACTTCGCGAACGTTAGCTCGTACCCGAGACTTATGCACCTGTACTTGAGAGGCGGAAGGCAGAAAGGCGAGTGCTTTGGTAGCTTATAATGTTGAACCGGTCTCTAATCAGCGGTGTGTAGAATCCGTAAAGAAACTGGAAACGAAAAGTATTGGGCTCTTCTTGAGCATAGAAGAGGAAGCCTCGCCCAAGCGATCATGTCAAGCTGCTTAACGCCATTCAGTGAGTAGTATATATATGGGGGAGGGGGGTTATCCACTGACTATAGTTCAGAGCTCCTACTCTTCGATAGAATAGTGCTGCTTCTTGATATCTGGTATGTCTATCGTAGATCTTTTGGATGCATACCCTTATCCTTGACTTCAGGAACGCGATCATTTTGGGAATTCTATATCTTACCTTCCAAGCTTTCCCGATAATCTTTGAAAATGTACACGGATTTAATATGCAAGAAACTGGAATGACATTCATCGGGATTGGGATCGGTATACTAGGTGCACTTGCCACACAGCCCTTGTGGGATAGGTACGATCCCTCGGCAATTCTTTCTGAGTTCCGTTCGCTCATTCAATAACTTACTCAGATACACGCGACTACAAGCACAGAAGCATGGCGGGATTGCACCCCCAGAAACAATTCTAGTTGTCAGTCAAGTTGGAGGTGTGCTTGCGCCGATCAGTCTGTATTGGCTGGCTTTCACGACGTACGAGGGCATCCCGTGGATTGTCCCCGTCCTCGCCTCGGTCCTTTTCGGCGTTAGCGTGTACTATATCTTCACATCGACGTTCACGTATCTGGTTGTGTCATACCGGCACATTGCAGCGTCTGCTCTGGCAAGCAATACTGCGATGCGGATGACATTTGCGGCCGTGTTCCCACTGTTCGCAGGACAGATGTATGACAGGCTGGGCACGGTGGGAGCAACAGCGCTGTTGGCAGGCCTAACGACAACAACTATGCCTCTACCGTGAGTGCCGCACGCTGCATGTTTCAGGTTGACGGTTTTTTTGACGATATCGTGATGTTCAGATTTATCTACTATAGGATCGGCGCTCGACTACGAGGGAACTCCCGTTTTGCTCAAAAGCCGTAATGAATTCAGGCCCTCCATGGCCGCTTCTTGGGAGATGAATAGTTGTCTCGCAGCGAACTCAAACATCGAGCAGGTCTTCCTATAGAGATATAGCACTTCCGCCGGAGATAGAGTAGGACTCACGTAGCGGACGGGGGTTGGACCACTGAACGTTGCAGACTATCAGGTGCGGTCCGACAGATTGGAGAGACAATGGGATTGGTACACGATAGAACATGACTTTGGTCGATAATGTACATTATCTGTTGATCTTGTAGCAGAGCTAATACAGTAGTTAGAGCCTTCAATAGAGGTTCAACGCAAGTGAGGCGTCGAAGTGTGAGCCAATCAGAGGCTACGGCGACGGCCTCTTTGATTGGCTGTGGCCCAGTGAAATCTTCAACTTTCGTTCTGTCTTTGGAGAGTTGCACACTATACACCACCTTTCTGTTTTTTTTTCTGGCGTAGATAGTAGTGTCTAATGTTTTCTGCGTGGAGATAGCGCGGGCTGTCGGGCGAGGTCGGAAGGCACCACAACTCGATGTTTGGCCGGGTCCGCTTTAGCAAAACGACGGCCAGGCTAAATTCTCACGGTCCTCATCCAAGACCTTTCACCAAGATGCTCCTCGCCCGTGCCAGCGCACCCCTTCGACAGGCTGTAGCCCGTTCACCTCTCACTGCGCCCGTGCGCTTCGCCCATGGTCACGGCGAGTACCAGGTGCGTGTCTAGAAGTGCTCTGGGATGGCCTAGAGGGGCCCTGACCGCCCTCGAACACAGCACATTCCATTTGAGTACAAGAGCAAGACTTTCGGTGCGAAGGTCGCCCTGTACCTAATCTCAGGCTTCAGCATCCCGTTCGTAGCTGCGGCCTATCAGCTGTGCGTCGTTTCAGCTTCCTACGTACAGCGCAGACTGCTAACACCTGACTGTATTCGCAGGAAGAAGGCCGGCGGCGCATGACGTGGGATCATTATGAGGATTGTCCGTTCAATAGAGCCCCATAGAGCCAGTAGAGCTATATACATGCGCCCTAAAGCATTAATACTTGTGCTGCGTCCGACATCCATGGAACTGTGGTCCTGACAAATTTGCAACTATATAACGACTGTTCGCTACGTTCTCCAACTTTGAGATTGTGCCCTCAGTCGCGTGGATGATGTTTGCCTGAACTTGCTGATGCTGATATGTCACCATCCTCTTCATAACCAAGCTGAGCCTTTTGCGTTTTCCTTGCTTTTTTGCTCTGCTGTGACACGCGACAGTCGCATGTCCGAATCATGAAATGGGGGTCTCCGTCCAACGCGTCCAGAGCGAGGGTAGCAACGGTTCGAGTTGCTGCCGCTGATGTCGCCTCTAGGGCGGATGCCAGGACTACATCATGCACGACAACTAGAACGAGTCAGGGCGATACCCTCGCAAGCGCATAATAGACTTACCTTCGCACCGAGTGCGGTAGTCCTCCCTTTCTTTTGCAATCCCATGCTGGCAGCATCCGAAAGACTGTAGTAACTCGAACAATGTCGTCGTCGGGTGTGGACATAGACTTTGCAGTCTGATATGATACTCGTAGAACGGTTTGATTGTCCCGTCGAAGAAGGCCCTGACGCTAGTTTCCTGGAAGTCATCAGAGATGTATAGAGCACCAATGACCGACTCTACAACGTCGGAAAGTGTCTGTCAATTCGATGATGAGCTCGTGTTGAAAAGTATCGAGCATCGAGTCTTAATTTTACCTTTGGGGGATCGAGAGCAAGCCAATACTGACCCGGCAACCTTCTCTCGCTTTGGGCAAGTCGGTACTCCTTCTCCCGTACCTCTCCCAGCTTGCGGACATACACCTGCACGGCTGTGCCTACCTCGGGCGCGGCATGCCGCAAGTGGATATGCAGGCCCGAATGCACGCAGAACGCGGCCAGCGCATGATTCGACACCATCGCACTCTGCTATTGTCAACTTTCTGATATTAACATATACTCCTATGCACATACCTTGAGGAGCGTGAGCCCATTTGGAGACAGTCCAGGATTCCGGTCGTAGATGAATTGAACAACGACTGGTGGGCTTCAGGACGAGTTGGAGAGGATGATTTCAAAAACACTCACGAAAGTCGAGCACAGCATCACCGACAAACTCTAGGCGATCATACGTTCTATCGTCGTGTGCGCCGATAGAAGTGTGGGTCTGCGAGATGACCAAACATCAACGTTGAGCTCAAGCTCTACAACGCAAAGGACACGGACCAGAGCTTGAGCTAATAGCTGTGGACGGGCGAATACATTTCCTACAATCGTTTCAACCGCTCTCACGGTTGCCGTTGGAAGTGGGACTGTAGATGGGGAAGTCTGACTCGTGAACAGTCGGGAGAAATCTGACCACTGTTCGACGCCCGGAATGTTCACGCTGAGAACCTTCATTGTCTGCAGAGCAATGCGTTGTCCCCCACTGAGGTATGCAGCTCCAATAATAGCTTCAACGACATCCGCGACTGTCTACAGTAGCCAAGACCAGCGAAGTATCAGTAATAATTTCGTGTGTGCGCTGTGTGAATCTTTCACACCTTGTCCCCTAACCACTGAATATTCTGTTCGTCCTGCTGCTTCTGCTTCTTGCTCCGCTTCGATGTAGTCTAACGTCATCGAGCAGTGAGTAATATTGTCCGCAATTCAAAAACATGTTCTCACCTGAATCGCACTAGTGTCACCCGCCACGGCATCATTATAATGAACAGCTTTCTGATCATTAATCGGGTCACGACTTGAGTGCGGTGAGGTGATAGGTGTCCACGTCTTGGCGACGAATGGCTTGCTTTGGATGTACGGCGGTAATCCTATCCGATTCGCCCCGGTCAGCAGTGCCTTGTTGCTGATAATTTTCTGCCGAGCCATATGCAGCGCACCCTCGCGCACATGTGGCGTAGTGACGAAACAATAGATAGATGCCACATATTTGAGGAATGCGTCGCCTTGTGATTGTCAATGACGATCTCAGACGAATTTGAGTAGATGGCCCACCGAATAGCTCAAGCCGCTCATAATCAAAAGCTACACTGGCGGAAGGAGGAGTCAAGGCGGCAATGAGATGTTCCTCGAGTATAGTGTGCTGAAAGAAGTGGGCATTCAGCTCCTTGACAAGAAGCTGATGGTCAATTCGATGCAAGATTGACGGGACAAGGAGCATTGTACGGAAGGTGCTATCGGTTTAGATAAGCATTTGATCGTGCAACGCAAAATGGCGAACAGACCTGGCCGGAATGGTGAACTTAGCACAAAGTTCAGGTATGAGATCTGCAAAGTAACATTGACTCAAAAGCAAGCTCTAAATGAGGCGATCCCTTACACTTGGGTGGCGCTTTGGAGCTCTGGAGCAATGGCCTTAGAACAGGGTTGAGATAGTTGATTGCAGGTGGTGCGACTGCTACTTCCAAAAGAGGTTGCTTCTCATTCTTTAAGCCCTGAAAGTCTTTGATACGGGTCTTGCAATATTCAAGCAAACTCGGGTACTCGGCTTCGCGCTGCGTTCAGTTCAGAACTGTCGCCGCTTGCAAGTCAACTAGGCACAAAAACTACTCACAGGACTATCGATCGCTTTGCTCAGTGGTGTCATGTCGCGTCTGACCCTGACCACGTAGAATCGATTCGTGAACTCCACGCGTCTGTCTTGAATGACTGCGTCTGCCACAAAACGCTCAACATCGGCATATTCATCCGGAAGCAGATGGATAAAGCATTTTTCTGCAGCTAGCTTTACGAGATCCCAAGGAATATGAGTATCCACAGATCGTCTATTGCCGTATCCGATAGAATCCGGGAAATCATCCTCCCAGAAATCATCCACTGGAGCAAGAAGATAAGGAAAGCCGTCGGCGGGGCAGGCGAAGGGCTTGTTGGTAATCGCACGGCAAACTCGACTCGTGTAACTGTGCAATAGAGTGTACTGTTCCTCGGTCACATCAAACGGCGCTCCCGTCCAAAAACGGGTGTTAGTCATGAATCCCGATGAGTACAGAGGGAAGTTCGAGAATGGCGGAAGAGGACCTCTGGTGAGAATGAGAACAGGAGCATAAGGCTCGTCCTTCAAATCGTCCGGTGCGACAAAAGTTGGGTACAGTCGAGTTCGCGGAAGTGACGACGAGTTCACCCAGAAATCGGGACGTTTCCTGGTGTAGCGATGCGTCCCGGCGGATGCAACGGCAGCATTCCTAGTGTTGACGACTTCAATAGCCTCGTCGGCACTAAATGAGGTAGACGGCCTATCACCCCACGTAGATTGAGAGCCCGTACTCAGGAGACGCTGTGGAAACATCCGATAGTCAAGCATGCCCTCGTCTAGTAGCTTACTGCAAGCAAGATAGCAAGCAGCCTGTAGAGAATCCGGCGGGAACTTTCGGGGTGGGCCAGTGATGGGTCTGATAGAACTGGGTTGAGGCAAAGAAATAGTGAATGTACGCATGCCCTCACGGGTTTCCGCGCACTGGAAGAAGGGTTCGATCGTAAATCCGTTATGATCGTCTTGCAAGCTCGCCGCAAGTCGGTGTATAACTGTGATTGCGTCCGAACACTTAACGATACCACCCGTTGTGGGGTCCCTGATCAAAGGGGAGGGCTCATCGTCGTCACTATCGGACCAATATGGGTCCAATGTCTCATGCAAGGACCGTGGAGGGATTGCGCCTGTTGAACCAGGTTTGAGGCGCGGCAGCCACCGCTGAAAGTCGTCACTTAGAGCTGTGATATCTGCAAGCACGCGTCTGTGACCTGCGTTGCCTCTCTCGACCATATGCACAAGATAACCGTCAGAGTTGCTGCAGTGCGCTACTGAGGCAGCGTACGACAGCTGGCTTTCGAACAAATCAAAGCTATATTGATGCGTTAGCAAACCGGGCACGACCCTACTGATGTAGGCATGCGCACCGGATCACGATATCGCACTTCGGGAATGTCATATGCTCCGACGACTTGGTGATGAGAAGAATATTCGTGTCCCCGCGTACAAATTTGTCAAATGTCAACTCCTACCGAACGAGTCAGCGATTGAATAGAACCTACTTAGTGAGACAAACCTGATCCATATATTGAGCTTGTGTCATGGCTTCTGGCCGTACATTGCGTACTCTATTAAAGGCGGCTAGCTCGCGCAACAATTCTACAATCATAGAAGCCACAATCTTTCTCTTGACTTCATCCCGCGAATCAGCTTATGGCCATTTTTTGCTGGTAAAACCACTCACCGAGAACAAGCACTCTAAAGCTATTGGTAGGGGACGTATTTGTTTCAATTAGCTCAACTAGCTTGAGAAACTTTGGGGATACATTAAAGTCGTCGGAGGCTACGTCTAGACATGGTATACAAGGCTTCCGACGGGAGAAATCTGTCCATAAGCGATCCATCGCCTTCTGTTCGACCATAGTTCTAGCTTGGTCTATCGGTGTTGAGGTACGCCCCAGTTTTTGAATCATGTCCTCTAGGGTGAGTTTCCAAAAGTAGCTTGACCCATACAGACCGAGCTCAGTATGTACTTCCTGTGCGAGCCTATACAAACGAGGTCGAATGATACCTTCGTGGTCAATGCTACTCAGACGATGCAGGGCAATATCTGGCGGCTGTGCCCTTTCAGAATGGTCATATTCGACTACAATCTCAGTCACACAGTCCTGAACTGTGAAGTTGAATTGGACAAATATACTGCTGTAAGTGTAGAAGAATACTTACGAGTCGGGACTCGGACCTCAGTATGGCGCAAGTACTTGAGCGGAGTGGGATATGAAAGTAGTTCCAGGCATCCCTTGACGCTATATCCGGGCTGTGCCTCCATTCGTCGTCGCTTTGCAGGAGGCCCACTAAATGTGCCACTCGGTAGCGCCTCGATATCATTCAAAGCACTAGTGCTGCAATTTTTGGAAACGGCCTCACTTACGCCATCAGCGCCAGGAAGAAGACCTGTCTGCATTCCGATCTTACTATTGTCGGGCTGGGTGATGAGAGGGCCGCCATAGGACCTGTTGTCGCTCTGGCCACGCCGTGTTGTTGTTGCTGTTTTGTTCCGTGGTCGTTGCCAGATATCAGACATAAATGAGATTGCGGAAGTTCTTTGGTCGTTCGAGGGCCCGTCCTAGACGTAATGGCGATGGACGTGGGGTCAAGCGAGAGAGTGAGGAAAGATACTGGACAGACTCGATGCGTGCACAAGTTTGCAATCGAGATTTCCCGCGTGGGGCCGGCGCCTGTGCCGCGCTAATAGAGCGCCGCAGCGCAGGTTCGCTCCGCGCCAATACTGTAGTTGTGTACAGCAGGGCCCTACCACAGCCCCTGCTAGTAGCATATAGCAGGCCAATGGACGTTCTACATAAAGGAACTCTGAAATGCTCAACAATGCACATCTCATACTCCATCTCGCTCGCCATCTCCAGGACTCCGCACCAGATACTTCAGAATCTATGTCGGTGAGGGAGCGAATGCAACCCGAGCCATGTCTACTCGCTCGCCTTCCATCCACTGGTGAGCAAACTGCTTCTGCATAGCTGATTGACACCCATGGGCTCTCAAGCATTCATCCAGCGTGAAGCCGAACAGCTTGCTCCGAAAGCGGTCATCAAGCAATTGCGGCGTTCTCCTAGCCCTTCGCCTCCGACGTCCCTTGCTGAGGATGAAACCATTTCCTCTCCAGAACAAGAACCCGACTCAGAGGAAACAGAGGACCAGACACGTCAGCGAAGCAGGACGAGGAGTTTTTCGTCGGTTCTCTCATCAATATCGCTGCCATCGCCCAAGCTTCCGCGACTTCGCATTACACCCAGTGCAAAATCCAGTGTATGGAAAGAGCCGGAGGTCCGTCCTCTATCCGAGGCATGCGCCACATACTGAATAAACCGTTCCAGCCTTTCGAGATTTTTCGTGCCGTGGAAAAGAAAGACATCACATTCCTGATGGAGGTTAGAGACAGAGCGTTCCATGTTCGTAAACCCCATGTCTCCAATTCATTTCGCTGAGCAACCAACATACTTAGCTTCTACTGCGCAAGAATGGGGACGCCACACCACTCGTTCATTGCATGCGCATTGGTAAATCACACCAAGATGTAGCTATAATCCTCCTTGGCGCGTTTTCCCGATACATCAACAACCTTCAAGATGACGAAGTTACCCTTCCGCGCACAAAGATGCTTCTCAAAGCATTGCGTGAGCTTCTCTCTCTCTCGTTTCTTTGTTTCACGTATTGAAAAGCTATGTACCGCAGGTATCAACCTGCGACTAGCAATAGATTTGGGGCTGCAAACATCTCAGAGCGATCTAATCGCGTCATTTCTCCAGACGCTCATCATGAGCGAAGGCGACAAGTGGGTCTGGGCTCAGGTGGGAAACGTTGCAGCTTCTCTGCGTGCTGGAACAGCGGGAAAGCCAGTTCAGACTGCTACCGAGGCGGTGAGAAGTTTCGCGACTAAAGAACTGGGTAAAGCAAAATATATTGCGGCTCTCGAGGATTAGTAGGTCTTAATTCGTTCTATGCACTCCACTAAACAATGCACCTTTTGTCGTTTTAAGTATCGCGAACGCTACGGCAGATTTGGTGATGATGGGCGCTTGGATAAGTGCCTTAGAGTCGATTCAAGGCGAGGCTATACCTGTACGTTTTCCTGCACTCCGCCATGGTAGACATGCTAAGATTGCTTCTCCAGACATGGTACTTTGCCCGAGACGATCGAGTGTACAAGGCATTCTGTGAAAGACTTGATGCACACAAACATGAAGTTGCTACCCTTAGCCGACGTCTCCGATGGCAACTGAGAGTACTGAGGGCCGTCATGGAAGGCCGTAGTATAAGCCTACATGTCAGCCACCTAATTCTTGTGCTCTTTTTCACTTCGTTGATGAATATTTTATTCAGGGCAAGGTGCGACTACTTGCAGAGGAATTCGACGAAGGAGATGGGGTCTGACCTCAGGTGGACACATGGATCCTGGATCATCATATCATTATTGGCAATGTACAATTATCTGCAATTCAATGTGTTCCCTCGCATGAAAAGCCTAATATGGTGAGTGAGTTACATGGATTCCGAGTTTCTTCTTCTCCCGTCTTCTTGATCTGCTGGCTTCATGATTGCAGTTGCTCTCATAAGGTGCTATCCGGGTTTGAGCCCACACCCCGTATGATGGCGTATCGTTGAGCATATATAAAGATTGTAGGCCGATGGCTATCATGAGTGCGTCGCGCTCTGTATCATAACATGCTCGTATAAGGTACCGTCTGGGAACAAGTACACATCCCGCGCTGCGGTGTATCATCGAGCACACAATGTATTGTCCCTATACTGGCCATGTGTATATGAAGTCCAATCGAATGATTTGAGCCATTTTACGATCTAAAGCAAGTCATGGAGGCACTGGAATTATTACCTAGAACAAATAAAGTAGCTTGCAGTCTATTGTTCATTGTCCATCCAAGAAATCCAAAGTGCAGATTCACAAAAAGATTTTCATCTCCTTGTACCACATCCAGCTCCCAACAATGATCATGTTTAGAGTAGCGGGACCAAGATCCAGCTGTAGCACAGCGTATACCCAAAGCGTAGCCAGAGGGGGGCACTGCGAAAACGAATCAAGGTAATCTCAAAAAGGCCGAGCAGCCGTACTGACCTGCTTCATGACAACCCGCCACGACGCGCGGTTAATGAGGTACACCAGTCTAGGACCCACCACCACAGACAGAACAAAAAGAAGGAACTGCATGGTCCGATACCGTTTGTAGCGGGTAGCTGTAGATCGGGGAGTTAGCATAGATGCGAGTTCTGGATGGGGATGGCGCACTGTAGAATATGAATACAGAGAGAACTGAAATGTGGTATTTAATTGTCAACGACAGATCCGCAATGATACTAGCGATACTTACTCGGTACACCAGGGACCATCCTATCCGCCAGCTCCATATATGTCGGCTTCCTACCGTACTGCCAGTGCACTAGGCTACATGCAACATCAGTGTCGCCAGTCTTCCTCAAGTGAAGCAGAGAATGACGCACATTTCCATGAGGAGTAGAAGGAAAGACATTGGGATGATAAACAGGGTAGCATTGAACACCTCGTCCCCGAAGTCAACACGCTCCTCATCCTCAGTTCGCTGCTCACGTTCAGAACTGGAAAGCTTCTTCAGTATACCTGTTTGATTGACGATACGCCATTGCTCGTCCTCGGAGAGATCAAGTAGACCAGGCTCCGACGTTGTATCCTGTGTCTTTGACTTGGGTTTGCGGTGTTTAGCCATGGTCTCAAGACGAAGACCGAAGCACGCGTTACGACTGGTGTGGCACGCCTTCGGCGTCCTCCTGGAGTCCTGGTACTGATCGGAACGAGCGCGCTTTTTCAGGTTCTCCGCGTTCAAAAAAGCTTGTTGCAACATTCAGCTGGGCTTATTGACTATAGGAGCTTGAAGGGTGTATTCGTTCCTCTCAAATGACAAGCAAGAATCAACAGGACTTGCTCCAGGCTCTCGAGGCTCACGGACAACAATTTCTTAGCTCGTTCTCATCGCCGGTTGTGCTAGGGAAAAGAAAAAACACCGGAGATACAAGCTCAAGAAAGACCAAGAAGGAAAAGATGCAAGAAGTCTACATGGAAGAGGAATGGTCAGGGATCCGTTATTCTGATGAAGACCAAAGCGAGGATGAAGATGAAGATTTGGTTGAGAGTGGTTTCTCAGACGTTTGTATGTATCCTATTTTTACCTAACTTTGCAAGCCTTCTGACACAACCCTGCGTGTAGTAAGTGATGTGCCCGGCGAAGTGCACCGGAGCGTGAAGACAAATCCATCGAATGTGGTTGTCTTTTCGGACGAGCACTCAAGGAGTGCACCCCCAGCGCCCAAAATGACCAAGGCACAAATGAAAGCCTTCATGGTAGGTGGGCTTTTTTCATCACCGCGGCGTGCGGAATGAAAACTATATCTACATAGTCGTCAAAAGTCACAAGGCTTACGCAAGACGTTCAAGATCAATCATCCGGGGACGAGCCTGAAAATGAAGATGAGGAAAAGTGAGTGGATGTAACGTATTGCTACCCCTCATGTTCGAAGATCTTCTCTTTAGGACAAATGCACAAAACGATGCACTACTCCATCGTCTCGTACACACTCGCATACTGTCTGGCTCTCTCAATCCGGATTTGGATCTCACGCCAGCACAGCGGAAGAAAGCCTTGGCCGGTCGCGTTCTCGAAGCCGCTGGAAAAGCGAAATTGGGGAAGGGCGAAGGCATAGTGCGCGCTGCCGAGCGGAATAAAGCGGCAAAGCGGGTCCGCGAAGGTATGGTTACGAAGCAGATAGAACGGAGCCAGAAGGAGCTGGAAGAGGTACTCGCTCGCTGCAGTGTTAGTACGACCGATAATTAACGCATTCGACAGGCAAAACAGCTGGGGAACTATCATCCTACCCTAAAGAAGTTGTATGATGCCTCTTCTCAGACGCATTCCAAGAGAAAGAGGACGAAGGGGCTTGGAATGGGCGTGGGGACATTCAAAGGCGGTGTACTCAAGCTAAGCAAAGCGGATATCAGTTTAATGCAAGATAGCGGAAGTAGGAAACACCAAGGTTTCAATAAAAGGGGTGGCAAGAGACGCTGAATATGTACTAGAGTACGCATTGCCGTGATGTTGATGCTATACAATGATTTCAACTTCTATTTGATCAGATACTTTACAGTTAATCGTTCCGAAAACTCCTAGTGAGAATAGTAGACATCCAAAACAAGATGATGCAAACAAGGTCCGTTCAACTAAAACTGTGGTCTCCTCCATGTGTTTTCATTTCCGTGCATAATACTCTTAGCTGAACAAGGATCCGCCCGGCCTGGGGCTGCTGGTGAAGGAGAGGTCATGGTCATGTTCATGTCCGTGCTGGTTCTGCCGGCACACTATCCCGATCTGTGACGGTAATCGTCGAGGTCAATGATATGCGGGGATCCGGATTCATACGACGGCTGCCGATGGGGGAATTCAGGATATCGCTCATCACGGTTTCCAGCCCGTGATATCGATCTTTGAATGCTATTCGCGGACCTACGTCTTCATGTCGGTAGTTGGTCACTACAATTCAGAACTGTACAAATCCTACTCACCCCGAAGACGAACCGCCGTGCCGCGAGGTTGACCGATGGGAACTACGTCTTCGAATAAATGGTAGTCAATATTTCGTGCCGGAACCGACAGGCTTCGTTCTCACCCTGAAGAAGACGAATTGCTAGGATCAACAAAAACAACTTGAGGAGATCCGTCATCCTCATAAGGATCATGGTAGTCCCTCCGACTATAGGCGCGCCCATCAACGGAGAGATTTGACGTAGGAAATAGAGACACACCCATATTCCCTCTCGTCGTAGTTGTCGTAGCCATAATTTTGATAACGATGCGATCGATACGATCCTCCTCGTTCACTATCGTATCTATCGTCACGGCGCGGCCGACTGCGATGCCTGGAGCGCTGCCCGCCATAGTAGTTGCTTGAATGCGATCCGCCGAATACTCCGTTATCGTCGAATCCAGCTCTGCAAAGCTCACGTCCATACTCGTCCTGAACAATTACCGGGCGAGTAGGCTGGGGAATGTAATTTCCGCTAAAATCTCCCACGCTACAGCAGTTGCAATCAACGTGGCGCATGTCAGCTCAGAATGTTGACTTACCGAGTGATTTCGTTCCCATTGTCATCCTCGAAGATGACTGGGGCACCGCCAGGGATGATATAATATGTGTCTTTTTCACCGTGTCGCCCGCGCTGCACGACAACCACGACTGATGGGTACTCTTCCGGATGTGCTGTCTGATGACCCCATTGCACCGCCGGGGCCTCTGACTGCAGCAGCTAGAATCAGATCATGCAAAGGTGAGCGATATGTGCACATACCTCGACATACTGAACCTCGACCTCTTCGGGCTCCATGAAGGTAGGACGAACGTGGCGGCTCGGACGACGCCGCGTTGATGTCCGCATCACATCGGGCCGGATGCCCTCCAGGGGCGTGGTGGAACTGCTCACCAGTCGCGGCTCGTGTCTCGCCTCATGTATCGTACTCAATTGCACAGGCCTCGCCTGCGGCATTTGTCGCGGCGTCGCCCTATGAGGCTGGGGTGTGGACGATTCCAGCGTGGCTGGTGAGTAAGTTCCATGATCTGCGAATGCTTCTTGCAGACGGCTTAGCGAGCTCTCTCGCTGCACGATGGGCACCGGACTATGAGCTCGGGAAGGGATGTTCACATAGGACTCTGTATCGTCGGATGCAGCGTAGTGCATCCCAGGACGGCTTTCTGGGTAATCTTCTACAGTCGCACGATAGGACCTGCTTCGCTGAAAACCCTAGCCAGACATCATCCATTTTAGTTGGTAATCTCAAACATCGTGCGCGGCACCTACTGGTATTTCTCCCTCTCCATAATAGGCCTGCAAGATGTCACCAGTCAGATTCTCTGTACGACAGTCTACCCGGTCCACTTACCCTACCACCTGTCTTTGACTTTCTTGAGAGCACTCTGCGCCAGGCAGAAGGGGCTCGGGGCATAGCTTCATAAGCTTGTTCATCATATCCATAGCCATATTGACCATGCTGTGGATCACAATCCTCATAATATGCGTATTCTCCGCGAGCATTTTCCTTCGAGGAGCGGCCAAGATTTGGGAATAAACGGGGCATGTTGCTGTTACTAGCCAGCAACGAAGTTTGAAATTGTAAGACAAGAGTGAACGAGAGTGATCAGTCAGCGAAAGGAAAAGTCATCAGCAGTCGCGTTCAACACTTCGACGTTTAAGCGATGAAAGGTTGTTGGTGGGGCTAAGGTCGCGTACACTTGATATCAGGCTTCGCCGTGCTGCGTGCGAGCAGCGTTCCGCGGATGCGAAAAACAGCATGGCGGACATGCGGGTAGCGTGCTGCAGGCCAGGTCCAAAAAACGACGAGATACGATTGTGAACGCAGGTCCAGCACTTCAATGATGCGGACATGGGACGTATATTGAATTGTGAAGCCACGCGAATGTGCGAGACTTGATAACGTAGTGACCCCCAGGCGAGGCGGCATGAGCTTCTGAAAGCATGGCCATGATCGAATGGATATTCTAGATGTGTTCAATCGTTCAAAGACAAGATATGGACACACCATATGGTACACTACAATTGGGCCTAGACACCCCGTCCCAACTCGCCCCTTTTGGCACCTCACCTCAGATGTCCCAAAGCCCTCAGTCGAGGAAAGACTTGACTGCGCTCATTTTTGCTTCCACCACGCTACTTGTATGATGCCGCAGCCTTGAGTCAGATTACGTTCAATCATGCGTTCAAGATGGGACCGATCCTCAGTGAATGATGACTACCTCTCTCCCAGCCCCACTTTCAAGCGCCTACTGCCTCTCTTTCACTCCACTGCAGTTGCTTCACCTGTGTGAGTGCTTGAGAAACTTTACTCATGGCGTCTGCTGTCTGCGCGATAACCGACGGATCAAGGATAGGACCACCTGCAAGGAGCATCATACGCTCAGAAAGGGCATGTAAGGCAAGTTCCAATGATTTTGCCGAAGAATCGAGGGCAACATAGGTGGGGCTTGAAGAAGTCTGACCATGCGACTGTCAGACGGCACCGGGCATGTGCGTTTAATAAAAACTTACAAGGGGAATATTTAAGGGGGACTTCGCATTGGCCATGCTGAACGGTGGCGGCTGTTATCCCTCCAGATGAATATTGGACACCTGGGAATTAGAGAAGATGCTTACTGCTTCTGAAGTGGCGAGTAACCTGGCTTTGCCTTTATCTCGGGCTGTAATCGTGATGGATGAAGTGGGTGCTGCTTGAGCAAAATTAGCAAGCGGTTGATTTGTACTATCGCTGGTAGCGTTGGCAATCAGTGGCACTAAACGCTTCCCCCCAAACTCGTCGTTCTCTTCGACGTAGACAGTGCCACAGACGACGCATTCCTATGCAGTTGTGCGCATCAGGTACTTATCAGCACCGCGGACAGAGCGTGGGCTACCGACCTTGCGTGGATCCTTTTCGGCCCCGGTCTTGGGTGGGCGAACAAGCGGTATACCATAGCATTGTAGATTTGGACACTCCTCTGCCAGCATAGCCCAACCTTTCAACATACGCCGCCCAATCTCGCTAGAGGCATTATCAGACTGCTGCCGACGTCTCATGATTTCTTCTGTATCCACTGGTAGTGCAAATGTAGGAGAGCTAAGACTGTCGGATATTTCTGTCGGAGGAGTGGACGACCGCGAGTGAGAGCGGTGGCTGGTGGATGTGCTGCTGGGCAAGGACTGCATGCGAATTTGCGTTGCGCCGGGTTGGTTGGAAGGAGCTTGGAAGCTCGCGGACGGCGTGGCAGACACGTTGTCACAGTTCGCACAAAAATGGGAGATAGGAGCTTTAGGGGAACGCATGAGAGGAACTTTGCGGCACTGGGTGCAAATCTCGTCTGTCAATATCTGCATCGCATATGGTCAATTTGACTCTTTTGAAGGGTGAATGATCAAAGGTATAAGCTTACCCAACCCTTCAGCATATATTCCCCCAGCTTCCCGGAAACATCGACGATCGTGGTCATGGCAGGCGACGGTGGTAGTAGTAAGTACTAGTATCGCTGTTGCCACTTGTGAGTGCGGCGAAACTGCGAAACTGTGAATGAGACGGCCCAGGTCACATGACTATGATCGGGGTATGCCCGAGTCCCACGAGCCACGTCGATCGCGAAGTCGCGTCCGCTCGACCCCTCCAAGCCTTAAAGTTGGTGGCCATCTGCCCTCTTGCCACGCGTTTGTGCAACCTTGCTCGTTCGAACTCCGCCTTTGCCTAATACTTCTGTTTTCTGAGGCTTCGTGACGGTGACTCTCATGGGCGTATGCCACTGACCTTTTTATCGTGTTATATATTACTGGCTTGAGGCTTGGCATGAAGTGGCCAATTCATTGGCCGAAAGTTGTGCTATCACTGCTTCTCATCGGCTTGGACAGCCAACGCCTGAGTCACGGAAGACTACCTGGTGTGGTGGAAGGCGCAGAATGGACATCGGTCCGAAAATTGGGAATGCGGTATGCACGCACAACATGTTTCGGTTGGTAGGCCTAAAGACAAACTTCATTTCAGAGAACAAGTTCGCACACTGTGGTACCATGGATTCGACAACTATATGCATCACGGTGCGTGTTTGTGTTGGGCGATGCTTCTCAACATGAATCATGAACCTGACTGTCTGCCAGCATTCCCTCTCGACGAGGTAGTCACAATCTCCATGATTCGGTAATGTATTGAAACTCACCTGGGAAATCTAGCTTGCACCATTGTCATGTAAAGGCAGAGGTCCTGACTGGCATAATCCGTGCGTAATCCTGATGCACCAATCTACGTGTCCTGATGACATCGTTCCAGTGCGAATATTGGAACAAATGACGTTGCCGGGAACTTCTCGATCACTCTTGTCGATGCTCTCGACACGTTCATCGTTCTGAACGACCGTCCCGGCTTTGAAGCTGCTGTCCGGAACGTCATCAATTGGGTTTCATTTGACGTCGACACCAAGCCACAGGTTTTCGAGACCACCATTCGGGCTTTGGGCGGGTTGCTCTCCGGTCACTTATTTGCTAATCAGACAGGACAGCCTTTTCATTTACCTTGGTACCGCGGCGAGCTGCTTGCTATGGCCCACGACCTGGGTCATAGGCTTTTGCCTGCGTTCGCAACTCCCACAGGCATACCCTATGCAAGAGTAAATCGTTTACTTATCCCATCCGACAAAGCTAATTGCAGTGTAGCTAAATCTTCGACATGGTCTTATAAAAGGAGAGTCTTTCGACACTTGTGCGTCTTGTTCTATGTGTGCTGGTGAGCTTGGAAATGATGGCTCCAGGTGCTGCCGGTGCAGGATCTCTCATACTCGAGTTTGGCACTTTGAGTCGCTTGACTGGCGATGCACGTTTTGAGAAGGCAGCCTATAAAGCATTTTTCGCTCTATGGAACCGTAAGTCAGATATTGGTCTCGTAGGGAACACGATCAACAGTTGGACCGGGGTGTGTGAGTTCATAGTTAGCGTTCGATTGTGATGGCTTATGCGTGATTCCTGCTCGCATTAGTCGTGGCTCCATCCCGAAATCTGTAGCATTGGAGCAGGGATAGATTCCTTTTTTGAATATGCTCTCAAGTGGTATATCATGAGTGGTCAGTTCAAGTTAGGGTCCCTTTTACCAGTTGTCCTTACGGATCGAACCCTGGATATATATAGGCGAGGTTGAATTTCTCGATGTTTGGCAGGAGGCCTATGCCGCAGTTATGCGGTACGTTCGAGCGCCGGACGGATTTTCCGTAAGTGGTCATTTTTCTTCGGAAATTTCGATCATAACAAGGAGGATTGCTCTAGTATCGGAATGTTAACCTGTATACGGTAAGCTTTCCTTATCAAAGTCAGCAACTCACTTCATACATATTTTTAGGGTGATGCAGCATATTCTACGTTTGATTCGCTTTCGGCTTTCTGGCCTGGACTGCAAATTCTCGCAGGCGACATTGAAAACGCCATTAAGTCGCACATGACGTGTAAGACAATCTGATGTTGGCGGTGAGACCCTCATCAAAACTTACAGTACTGCATAGATTGGAACATATGGAGAAAGCATTCAGGTTTACCAGAAGTATGGGATATGAACTTTCGACAGGCAACATCATTGCAATATCCACTGCGTCCAGGTGTGTGCCGTGTGTCTTTTGGCTCATAGAGCACCTTCAATGTTCTCAACCCGCAATGATATTCAGAATTCGTGGAATCAACTTGGTACTTGTACAGGGTATGTTCCCTTTCGGTTACTATACGTTCTCGTTTCCTGATCATGGCGTCAGGCTACCCACGATCCTTTTTACCTCGACGTGGGCGCACGAATCCTGTTCGACATCACTACACGAGCTAAGGTCGATTGTGGCTTGGCGACGATCAAAGATTTGCGTACAAACGCACGCGAAGATCGTATGGAGTCTTTTGTGCTCTCTGAGACCCTGAAGGTCCGGATATTCAGATTGAGGAAATCACTGACCTTTGCTCACTTCCATTAATGTCATTGATAGTATCTTTATCTACTTTTTGACGAGGCCAATCCGCTACACACCGACGATTCAAATTATGTCTTGTCGACGGAGGGCCATATTCTCTGGCTGGATCGAGATCGGCTCAAACCTATTTCTGCTGCACGTCGCAAGCTGCGGGGGGTCGAACATCATCAGTGTCCAGAGTACCAGCCCCCTTTGATCGCCTTCGATGATTGGACGGGGGAAAGTGGCTTGTCCGTTGGGATACGCGCTAGGTCGGACGCAGACTACATACGAGAACTTGTTGGTGTCCGCCCCTCAGATCAAGACGCCACGGCCTGGTTTCCCGGTGGCTGGTGCGAGTTACCGAAAATGAGCCTCTTCGTGAGTGTTATTGGTGTTGACATAAGACTCAACACTCAAATGTTCACCTGTGACCCTCCCAGTCGTATGATTTCATTTTGTCTCCGGGCGGACAGAATGTTCCTGAGGATATAAACCCAACTTCCGAAAAGCTCGTGCACGTCTCAGATGGATACACATTATACAACGTGAGTGGTATCAGGGCGCACATTGTCAGCCGCCTTGATGGCAAAGGATACGATGTCACAAAACGTGAGCGTCTACGCGACAGCAGGATACAAGCAATCTGATTACCATATTAGTTGGACCCTACGCAGTGAAAACTGGCCAATTAGTCTACGTCAGAGACCCGAACTTGAATCTCGCCCCGCTGGACATGAAAGACGCATTCAAACGCGGCGGGATTTCTCGCAATCCGGAAGTTCGATTGCGCTTCAACCTGGACTACGTCGACCCCTTGTTCCAAATGCAGACCACCCTGCGCGAACCTGTGACAGAATTCACCGTCACTGCGTCCACGGCATTCTTCGGTGGCGATCCGACAATCTATGATCCTGACCCCATTTCCGGCGTGTCTTCTCTACGCTTTGGACATGGTGAAGGTGTACAGGTCCTCCGAGTACCTGAGAATCCTTATGGATGTGTCCCATATACCCAACGCTTTGACGGTGATGCGGTCATCGTGAAGAGAGGTGAATGCACTTTTCTGGAGAAGCTAGTGTTTGCTCGCGAAGCCGGTGCATCGGGTGTAATAGTCCTCAGCGACGAGGAGATCTACATCAACCCAACCGCGGACGCTCCCGAGCTGGCTGAAGTCGGTGAAATCATCAAGGACGTGGTCGTAGTTGTGTTGCGACGCTCCGGAGGGAAGGTGGTCTCCGAGATGTTGGATGCTGCCGAAAGGTTAAGAATCGCCCGAATTGTGGTTTCGGTTCAGCCAGAAGCCCAGCCCACGTTAGATCATGGAAAAGACTATCAGGACACATTGAAGGACAACCACCGCGTGCTCTATCTTAACGGACATCCATTGCTAAACACAAGGTTGATGGTATAGATATCCATTGAAACCACTTGAAATCCTAGCTACCCTTGCACATACGATACATTACGTGTTGACAACTAGTCGTCCTCTTTCACCATAGAATAAACGGGCGCATCTAGCATTTGGGAGCCTTTCAAGTAGGATAGTTCAATTATGAATAAATACTCCAACACTTTGCCGCCCAATTTCGCAGCGAGCTGTCCCGCTGCCTTGGCCGACCCACCTGACCCATGTGTAAGACTTCAAGATGTAGCAGTGGGCTCTAGCACACTTACCGGTGGCGATGAGATCATCTACAATTATGATGGTCTGACCAGGGCGAATCGCGTCGGCTTGCATCTCAAACTCGTCCTGATAGAAAACCTGCAAGTCATGAAACCGATCAACAGATGAGATAAATGAGACGCACAGATCCATATTCCTTCTCATATGTCGCAGTGACGCACTCTCCCGGGAGCTTTCCTTTCTTCCTGACAGGAACGAATGCGGCTCCGAGTCTCAAGGCAAGTATGGGCGCAAGAATGAATCCTCGCGCGTCGAGTCCAACCACTACGTCCACCTTTTTCGACAGGGACTGAGGCACTGTCTCCGCCACCAAGTGGTGCATAAAATGCGTGATGAGGGTCTCAGCCGCTATTGGGTCCCGAAAGATCGGGAATATATCTAGAAAGACGATCCCCTGTGACCAGAGAAAAGTGAGATCGCAGAGACGCATGTGCACGATCCCAACCGCACACTCGCCTTCTTAGGAAAATCAGAATGTGTTTTGAGCATCTTCTTCAGGCTTTCCACGTCTCCCATTGTGACGAAGGAGGTACTAGGCGACAACGTCGTGTCGGGCAGCAACCGGAGAGCGAGGGAAGGCGCAGACTCGGAAGGACATGTCCCACCGAGGCACAAACTCAAAGCGACGCGAAAATATAAATTCCGGGTTTCGCATCGCAGGAACGGGAATCGTCGTCATAATCGACAATACTTGCATGCTTTCAACACAACCTTACAGCGGCTCTCAAAACTATGCAGAACCGCGCAAACGCAAACGCACTCCCGAGGGCAGGTCCCGAGACCTGAAGCTGAAGGCCTGAAGCTTGTCCGACAATGTCCCGGCACCTCAGCCGACTCAGCAGGACCCCGGCATATCGCCTTAGCGCTCAAATCCTAATGCGGACACAATTGGGAGCCAAAAGTCGTCTCTCTTAGATCATGGTGCGGACAGACTCGGCCAAAAGTTGACGGTCCCAGTTCAGCATCGCATATCGCCATGCACGGGATTTACCTCGGCCAGTTGCCTTTGAGTACAGTAGTTCTCCTTTTGAATATGGACGCTGTGGGACACATCTCGAATTGGGAGTGAAATATGCCAATATATCAATGCGGCATCCTATTTTTCATGCCCAAGATTAGAATCGGCGAGTCCTTATGGTACAGAGCTCTCCGCGACTGTCCGCAAGATGCTCACATAACTGGCATCCAAGCAAATAATCAGGAGCTGTGGGACCTGCCGAGCGATATGTTCCGTATGGCAGGTTTTGTTGAAATTTGATGCGTCTTCAAGAGGACTAAAGAGTGTAAGTTTTATTCCATCATGATCCTATCACATTGTCCATTCTGTGATCTCTTAGGTGT